TATTCCCCATGGCCCCTTTTCTTGTATGTTCCATTTGTGCATGTTTCTTTCCTTTTACGCCTTACATTTGTCTCTTGACCAAGAGGTTCTCTCAACGCTATGCTTCATGAAAATTTTAAATGACCCATAAATTATATACATTCATTAAAATTCTAAATATGCACACGCTTGCATGAACAAAATGACGTGGTAAGCAGAACATGCTGGTTGGAGAGGAAGTTGCAACCCAACAGAGGCGGATAAACTAAAGGACAATCTGCATTATCTGAAGTGTTAAAATGCATAATGCAGCCTGACTGTGAATGTGGAATTTTGTTGTCACATTTCCCTTGTCTCATCTTCCAAAGTCTCTAACCCCAACTGGTTGAGGCAGACAGCCGCCCACCTAGAGCTGGGGGTCTGTTTGAGGTTTCTGCCTCTTAAAAGGAAGTTTTTCCTTGTCACCGTCGCCAAATGCTTGCTCATGGTGAGAACAGTTGGGTCCCTGTAAATCATTTTATAAGGAGTACAGTCTAGACCTACTCTAATTGAAAAGTGTCCTGAGATAACTTTTGTTATGAATTGGTGCTATACAAATAAAATTGAATTGAATGGAATTGTTACATGGGGAATGCTTTAGTGTTGTTTTGTGTCTGATTAAGGGCTTTGTAAGCTAAAGTTAAATGCTGTATTTGTGAGACAAATGCTTCTCTTTCAGCAGTTGCTTATTCATAAATTATTTGTATGCATAGCTAACATGGGTTATTTTGATTAGAGACTTAGAGGGAGAGACCAAAGCCTCATGTTGGCTGGCTGAAAAATGAAATAAAACCAACAATCACACACAAAACATAAAGACAAACCTTCTTTAAATGTACTGTGACTGAACCACAAGTTGTAATGTTTACATAGCACAAATAATAGTTTGTTAAAATTCATCATTTCATCCCAATCTTCTTTTTAATTTATTGGACCATGAATTTGGTTCTCAGCAAATCTCCAGCTATCAAAGTGTGGTCATGTTAAACCGAGTATTAAGTAAGTATATACACACACATAAATAGGGGATTCATTCATTTTCACATGTAGAGCCAGCGACTTAGACCGATAAAAGCGTTTTAGCTTTGCTGCAAGAGAGCAGTTATTTTTACTTTTCTCAGCTGGAAGCAGGGCAAAAGAGAAAAGGGTGGCAGAGGGAGAGAGAAAAGCAATGTGTGAGTGTGTGTGTAATGGAGAGGAGGAGATGCAGAGGGAGGTATTAAATATGGAGACTATGCTGATGGTAAATGGGTCACCCTGTTAGGAGGCTACCTCAGACCCATATATGTTTTTCAGACAATCATAGAGACTCTGATTACTGGGCTAAAACACAACCAGGAGACTCTTAACTGTAATACGAAAAAAAATAAAGGCATATTAAATGTGTGTTCTTCTATAAATTATGTATACTTTACAGTACAGTATGTGTTTGATGGAACATTTAATTAGCCGAGCGAATGTGTGCTAGCGTTTGTGCAATGTTCTGCCACTTTATGGAAGTGTTGTATTAGCGTATGTGGGTGTGTGTATGGAGGCTTATGTGTTATCTTGAATTTGTGACAATAGCACAACCTACACGCTAGCCAGTATTTCCTGGTGCCTATACAGTATCTCTATGCTGTATTGTTATGCTGAAGGGACATGTTAATTGATTACTGGTAGTTGATCAACAGAAAATTCATCTTTTGTTTGATTTTCTCTGTTTTAAATCTTTAAAAGTTGAAAAGATTTGGTGGTTTTTGAATGTTCTGAGTCTTTGAAGAGCAAAAGGTCAGCGGTGTAGTTAGCTGCAAGAATGGGCAATCATGGGTTACGCGCTTTTATATTACAATATCAGAACTTTCTGGGAAAGTAAGTGAACCTAGAGTTAAAATAGTTTGTTTTTGGCTAATCCAAAGAAGTAAATGCCAGACAAATCCATCCATATCACATCCAAATTGGTTAGTGATGCCAAAATTGTGATTTCTTTGTGTTTTCTTTAATTTTCTCAAATTTTTAGTTAATGTTCCTGAGGCTCTTAAATTGAGAGCTGCCAAGGTCTTTGCATTGTTATGAAACCTTGCTGTGTACACATGTTTAAAGAAAAAGCTAAATGTTTCATGATTATACTGTAAGTCGAATAGCTGTTGTAGCATTGCAAGTATTGGAACGGGCATGTTTTGATTTATTTTAAAATGTATAATTAAAGGGTAAAAGTTACAAAAAGATTTTTAAAAACGTCATAATAAAAATGGAAATTAACACATCTCATTTAAAGATCTATTTGTACGGAACTGGTTAGACTAAATAATATCCTTAAGTGCAATACAAATATTTGTATGTATTTGAAAAAAATTATTTGGAATTTTGGAACAATTTATTGATTTCTAATGTCACCTTTCAATTTTTCTATTCAGTGTTTTTCTAATGTGCCACATTATTGCAATGCTTTTGAGTTAAAATAGCTTCATTTTGGGGCTTTTTTTTTGCCACCTCTTAACGTCTCCATGCCACCCTCTTGTCATGAATATTTATCTAGATTAATTTAATGGAATCCATTAATAAATAATTCCCACTTTTCCCATTTAGCATAATAATGATGTCTTCCATTCAACAGATATGTATTGATATTAAAAGATAAGTAGATAAGTGGGTGACTAAACAATTACAGCAACATCACCACTTCTATGGCACAGTATGTTTATTATGCCATGCTATGCTAAAACATTCATGTTCCTGTGGAGGAAAAGTGAAACATTCAGCCTTTACTCTTTTGCGTAATGTGACAATCAGGACCTGCTTGTGTCATCAGCAGAAAATCATCAAGCCTGTGGCTATTTTTAGGTGTGCTGACTTAACAGTGGCTCAAAAGGTAAATCAGTGGAGGTCAGGGACACCACATATGTGCACAAGCCTCATCAGCACATTGCAAGGTGCTGCCACAGAGCTTGAAAAGTCAGATGTGCTCTATGTATGTGTATTATTACAGTAAATCTCCCAGTTTGCAATTCCCTTTAGTGGAAACTGTTACTTTACTCTCACAATTAAGTCTTGTTAGAGCTGTATATCCATGATGTTTCATTCCATCCGTGACTCAAGCGAAGATCTCAAAACAGACAGCTTTGTCAAACAATTGGCCTGTGTGAACAAAAGCACTGCCGGTGGCGTGCAGCTCCTCACCGCGCGACCTCTTCTAGACACTGAGGCTGACTCTGTTGTCTGACCCTCCATAAACAAAAGGACAATAGAGGAACATGAGAGTAGCACAGAGTAGGACAGAGGGAAACTGGCCAGAATGCTGTAATTCCCTACAGACCACTGTCTTCACCCACTCTACCCTCAGGTTGCAACATTAAGATTGAATAGACCAATTTCCCATTTAATTAAGGATGCTGGCTCTCAGTGTCATGACAGAAACTTGCTGGAAAACAAAATTAGTCTTTTAGAAGTATGTTTGCACATGACACCTTTTTTTATTACACACCACACATTGAAAGAGATCTGACAGCTTTAGTTCAAACATGACACATGGAATTCCAGTGAGAAATGGTAGATATAGCAGTAACTTTAACACAGGCTAAAGTCATATAGTAATTACTGCAGATGGTAGAAGAAGAGAGCAACTTATGATGTTACATGCCTGCAGTGTATGTAGGCAAAGCTTCATGAAAATATGTCTGTATCTTTCTTGGAAAAGTCATAACAACATTATGCATTTTCGACACAAAGTCTTCATTTGTCAAGGTCTATATATAAATAGCCTCACAAACTTCTGCACTGTTCACTAAAGGGAAATTACCCATTTCCACCCTGCTTTGTACCATTATAATGTGGCTAGTGTATGCAAATGAACCAGTTTAACATCCCACTATGCTGCCTGCACCAAGAGCATCCTGCTCATTTGCTGCCAGATATGGCACATTTTCTCCAGCTCTAGGGCTTTAGTTCAAACTACAGATTGCTCTTTTGCATTTTTTGTATGCCGGCCTCCACGGACAGTCGGATTGATAGATTCATTTGCCAGCAAATCGGGGAACTCAGTGTAAGGGCAAAATGGAGTTATGGAAAACATTGTTCATTTGCATACACTATCCACACTGTCATGTTACAAAGCTGGTTGACAATTCGCAAAACTTCCCTTTAAAAAGGCCATAAACATGTAGTAATCTTACCTTTGGTTCTGACCAGGCTGCTAGTTATTGTATTTACTCTGAGATGTGTCAACATCAAGGCATTATAAACATGTGTAGCTCAATCCCTTCTGTTGCTTTCATTTTAAGATTAATTTCCCCTTAAACAGAGTGCTAGGGGTAATCATTTAAACCTTCAAAGTCCATTATTAATCTAATTTTCATTAATGGGAAGCCCATCTTTATATATTCCAATGATAAAAGTGATTGATTGATTGTTTAAGCACCGTGAAAAGTTGCTCATAACTAAAAATGAGAATTTGATGTATGCACATTTACATTATATCATCAGAAACAAAACCTTTTTGTTTGTAAAGTTATACAATATACTGTATATGTGATATCTAAAACATAGCATTCCAGCTGCAGCACAGCCCCGGTAAATCCCCGGTAAATCTCTTAATCTACAACCACACCAGTTTGTTAAATTCAGCAAGGTCAATCAAGCAACCTGCAAGGAACTGAAGGAGATAAGATCCATATTAACTATGCCAAGGATGTTCTGTTTTTTGTGTGCAAGTGCCCTGTGGTGAAATAATTAAAATGAGAGGACCAGACTGGCTCTTTAGATGGCACTGCCAGCAACTTGGGCACACTTTTTTCATGTTAAGAATGTGCAGGAAATGAATCACACCATTTCCCTTATTTCTCCTTTTCACCTTTCATTCTACAAATACCTTATATTTCTCACTTCTACTCTGATCTTAATGTTCTTTGTATCTTTATATCTGTCTTAGAAAGTCACCAAGGCCTTGAACTCAATAAGTTGTTTTCTTTTGTCTTAACACAACTCACGTCCTCATTTCTTCACAGGATACTAATGAGCTGGTGGCCATTAAGAAGTTCAAAGACAGCGAAGGTGAGTGAAGGAGCTGGTGAGGGAGAAATGTAGTGGAGAGACAGAGGAAGACCCAATCAGCTGTATAATTTCTGTATCTTTAATTTTTATGCAGAAAATGAGGAGGTCAAGGAGACGACTCTTCGGGAGCTGAAGATGCTTCGGACGCTGAAGCAAGACAATATCGTCGAGCTGAAGGAGGCTTTTCGCAGGAGGGGGAAACTCTACCTTGTCTTTGAATATGTTGAGAGGGTCAGCTTAATGACACTATGATTATATGCATACTATGCACGCATGAATTTTTATATTACATATCTCTATTCTGCTGTATCTAGACTCTAAGTTTCAGGATGTTGAGATTGCTCAGTTGAGCATAAAAAAAGCATCACCATGGCAACATATGAACTATGCTGTTGGTGAATAATGGTATTCCCCACTGTGTTGCCAGGGTATCCAGCCAAGTGTTTATTTCATGACAGGTTTTATTTTTATACTTATAATGCATGGCATCCCCTCTCAATCCCCAGTCAGGGTTTAAACAAAAGGGGGAGAGGAATCCCCACTGTAAGAATTATCTAGGCAACTATATTATACTTATTATTATTTATGTATAGTTAAAACTGCAGCTCCACATTGTAGCTGTTTCTACAGGTTAATTTGTTGTGGTTTGCAGAACATGCTGGAGCTCTTAGAGGAACTGCCCAATGGTGCACCGCCTGACAAAGTCCGTAGCTACATCTACCAGCTCATCAAAGCTATCAACTGGTGTCATAAGAATGAAATAGTACACAGAGGTGAGGAGTTTATTTTCTTTATTTCCATACGTATCGACTGCAAAAATATCAATGACGCTTAGTTGTGTTGACACTTAAAAACACATTTTTCAAATGCAAAACAAGGGAAAGAAATCTGCCAGTGATGTAAACATTTTGTTGACACTTTTGAAGCTTGAAGTTGTGCCCAGTCACAGACGTTTACTTTAAAATGACTACTTTAATCAGTGTGAAAAACATAAACTGCTCCAAGCAACCGCTACCAGTTACGAGTTTCTGATCACTCTGATAATCAGGCAAATTAGGAGGTTGATTACAACACATTTCTTTGTAAACAGCATTTAGATCTTAATGTAAGAAAATATTTCTGTAAATAGATGAAAATGTAAAAGGAAAAATAGATGAGAGATGTTGTCGCTCAGACAGAATTTTAAGTTACAACAACAGCTCTCAGGTTATGAAAGAGAAAGATGCAGATGGTAGTCAAGTTATGTGTTATGTCAGTGAATTGTGGGATTGGATTGCAGGATGCGATTGAAACATATTGTTGACAGCCTTTTGTCTGCATCCCTCCTTCAGATATCAAGCCGGAAAACCTCCTCATCAGCTCGGAGGATGTTCTCAAACTCTGTGACTTTGGTGAGTCTTTGGTTTTTTTCTTTCTGTACTTTACGGCAGCCATATTGTCACAAGAGATTTACAGGTGCACTGCAGTAAAACCATACAGTCTCTGCACATTTGCCTTGTCAAATAAAGGTAATTGCTAGTAAAATCCTGGTATTTGTTTAACAGACTGAATCAGCTTTTACTGGCAATTTATTAGACACTCTGCTGTGTGTGTGTAGAGTCATTGTAATGCTGTCAAATTAACTGTGATTTTTGTAGTTATTTCTGTGATTCCATTTTGGGCAGTTTGGTTACTTGGGCTCAGTTCACTGTGAAAAATCCCACCATTAATTTGTCACCTTGTAAGTTGTTAATCACAGGGATCAATTCTGCCACTGGGAAGCAGCCAACCAGCATACTAAAATGTACTCTGGTGGTTGTTATCACAATGAATCTGCCAAAGGTATATTTCAGGAAAGTCAGGTGAATGTTAGGAACCTGTGTCTCCTATAATATACTAATAAATTGTATTGATACAGCACAGTTTAATCATTTTACAGTTTCCCAGGTGTGTATTTTACATTTGGATGAGTCTTTGCAAAATCACACGGTCAATTAGCTTTGCATAATTGGCTAATGCAACCCTACTGAGTCAGCTGGGGTGAGATTTGTTTGTTATTCACTGTTGGAGCTGGCATGCTGTTTATTGTGATTTTTCATGGTTAAAATTGACTCTCTGTACACCAGTTATCTACAGCATGGTCTCAGCCTGCCTGCAGTGACATAACTAATTAGAGTCTGGTCACATAAGAAGACGACTATGTTGTGAGTGTAGCTGTCCAAAACGAGTGTTGATTGTACCATATTCTTACTAATTAGCTATTTATACATTTATGTGAAGGACTGTAAATTGTCTGAATATTATCACTAAGTACTGGTTGTCTAAAATACTGCATCAAGTTTATGTGATTTATTCATTACCATGTTACTCTGGCTCAGGTTTTGCTCGTAACCTGTCTGAAGGAACAGATGCCAATTACACTGAGTATGTGGCTACAAGGTGGTACCGCTCGCCTGAGCTGCTGCTGGGGTGAGTCTGTGTGTGTGTGTGTGTGTGTGTGTGTGTGTGTGTGTGTGTGTGTGTGTGTGTAGGAGAGACTATGTGAGAAACAAGGAGAGAGAGAAAGAGACCTCATGTTGCAAATCATTCTCAGCATTTATTTTTTATCTTCACAGAGCACCAGATGGATGGAGTTTTTGTATAAGGTTTTATCAGGCAGGGACACACTGATCCATATTTTTCTCTGCTGATAGCATTTTCAATACCTCGATTCAGGATATTAGCAGATACAGAATACCAATGCAATACCAGTACATTTTCCCAATTCATCTGTAAAACCCAGTGAAAATAACTCATTAAAATCATTTTATGTAAGCTAACATGACGCCAGACGCTAAAAACTCTGCCATGACTGAATTAAAGTAAGTGATAGTGAAAACACATCCGAGTTTTATAATGATAACAAAGAAACTATAAATAAAGCAACCACCACTGTGCCAGTCATTACAAAAACTGAGAGCAAAGTTCGAACAATCCCAAATGTGTTGGGATGAATATTCTGGGAAATATGATGCATCAGGCATGTAGAATATTTCCATCTGATTGAACGGTGCAGATGTGAGTGTGTGTAGGAGATTAAGTGAGAAACAGTGGTGTCACAACACTGTCGCATCACAGCGAGAGGGTTTTGGTCTCAAACCTGCAGACTGACTGGGGCCTTTCTACGTGGGTTTCCTCTGGGTTCTCTGGTGTCCTCCCTCAGACATGCAGGTTAGGTTAATTGGCAACTCTAATTGCCCGTAAAGGTGTGAATGTGAGCGTGAATAGTTTGCCTCTATGTGTTTGACTGGCGGCTTAGACCCTCAAGGATAAGTGGGGAGCTAATGGACAGATGGAAGAACGGTCCAGCCATAAAAAAAACATGGAGTCTCGGTAGATACCCGATTAAATTCCAGTATTGGTGCCAATACCAATCTTGCATAGCGGATTGGTATCCCATCCCTCATATATAATAATGTAAGGTTGTTTGATACGCTAAAATAGGCTACAGATGGCCAGTAGTTTCCAGGTATCCATGAGGGAATTACAGGAAGTCCCCAGAGATATGAGCAGCAGAAGTTACTCCAATAAAATTATGCATGAAATGACTACTCTGCTCTTAGTTGTCAGTCCTAATACACCACCCTTAGTCCAGCTTTACAGTTATGTGTACAGCAGTTAAGTTAATGTTAAGGGTTAAATTAAGTATTGTCCATGTCTATCTAAAATTGTCCTTATTTTTATTTTATTTCATGGTTTTTAAGGTTTAGTGTGCGTCTTTGTGCACAAGGTTCAGTCCCATTAACCAATTTGTGTGCGTTTTCATCCTCATTGTTTTAATTCAGATCACAGCTTTACTCTTCTCCAAAAAGAGCCGATGATTCACCCGCTACAACATGATGACATGAACCATTGTGCGTGCACCGTATCCCGAGATCAAATTTTAGTTTCTCAGTTGTTTTTGTTGCTTATGTTGTTTTTGTTGCTTTTGCTGCATTGAATCTCCATTATAGCTTGGAGACAGCTGAACGTCATCTAGCCCCACTGCTGTAGCCTGATTTAGTAAATGCCCTGGAACATTTATTGAGACAGCGTTTGAATGCCACCCACTCAAATACTCTCTCCCTCCAACACCACCGCTCCTCTGCTTCTCTGCTGCCAGATCTCTCGCCATTTCTCACCAGACTCCTCAGCGCCATTCCCTCAGAAATGACCATCTTCTTTATGTGCATCTCCATCAGAAACACAGCATCCATCATTTTATTTGACCTCACCACCATCACCAATAACATCACCTCCATCGCCATTCCTCCTCATTGTCATATCCACTCCGTTTTAGTGACTTCATGTTCACCCCTATCATCCTCATTTCCATTTTCACCATCATCACTCCTGCCATATAATTGACAAGGTCATCACAAGCTAACGTTGACATTCTTCACATAAATTATATTTTGTCTCTCTCTCAGGGCTCCCTACGGAAAGGCAGTGGACATGTGGTCAGTGGGGTGTATCCTTGGGGAGCTAAGTGACGGACAGCCCTTGTTTCCAGGGGAAAGTGAAATAGATCAGGTTGGTGAGCCCCATGAAGTGATGAAACAAGGTTGACAGAAAATTAATCAACAACAATTTTAATAAACTATTAAACGTTTGAAATAATTTGTCATATAAAAATGGCATATAGGTTCTCCACTGTGAGGATTTTCAGCTTTTCTTTATCTCTCATCTTTATTAAGCGAATCTTTGTGTTTTTTAACTGTTGTTCAGACAAAATAAATGGTTTCTCTGTAGCTGACGTGAGCCAAAAGAGTTCACTTGCAAAAACAGATAAACACCATTCTTAAAATGAAAAAGCCAACACCTATTTGGTGTATTTTGGCATTTTCCTAGAGTGCACAAATAAAAATTTTTATCACAAAACAAACAATACAAATCTGTTTTCGCAAATGAAACCTTTGATTTTCCTAATGTAATAAAATAGAAATTTTAAAGGGAGCATTTAACGGTGATATAAATGCATGTGAAAAAATATTTTTTGTGGTTCAACACCTCGACAAGACCAGTGTGTGTGTCTGTTGCACATTGACAGTTTAGATCAGACAAAATATGGAAGCTGGCAATCAGCATTTGTCGTTATTCTCTGTCATTTTATAGATTAGGCCAGTCAAATTTATTTATAGTATACAGCCCAAAATCAGAATGTATTTTGTTTTAACGCAAAGGTCAAAGGTGCCTGCAAATGCGTGCAAACAGCTGAAAAGAAGAGAGCCGTTTTCAGCCTTCATTTGTTGTATGTCTGCAAACAACAAAGAAGATATTTATGTAATGATGATCCTCAAACAGCCGATTGACTAATTAAAAAATTTGCAACAATAAATCTCAATAATCCTCCCAACAATTATGGAATGGATGGAGTAGAAGTTAGATTGTTAAACAGTCATTACATTTTTACAGCCTTTTGTAAAAAAAAATCCTCATAATATTACACATGGTGTTAAACATGATACACCACAAGAGTCTTGTTGAAGTGCAGTTAAGTCTACTGTCACTATTAACTATGGTGCTGATTCATTTTATCTCCAGCTCTTTACCATTCAGAAGGTTTTGGGGCCACTTCCTGCCGAACAGATGAAACTCTTCTACAATAATCCTCGCTTTCATGGAATCAGGGTAGGAAATCTTTCATCTTGTCTATAGCCACTGGTATTCTTCTTCTTTGCTTCTTTTTCTTTCTCCTCCTCCTCCATTCTGTTTTTACCTCCTTTCCTTTTCTCTGCAGCTCTGTCTCCTTATCTCTCTCTCTCTCTCTCTCTCTCTCTCTCTCTCTCTCTCTCTCTCTCGTTCGCTCGCTCGCTCTCTCTCTCTCTCGTGGCAGTGTTCCCAGCACCATAACTGAGTGGATTGCTATGACTCATGAGATAGGTGGTTGGTGTTCAGTTTAGCAGCAAGAGAAAATGTCCCAGAAGGCCGAATAAGACTTTGTGTGTACATGTGTGTGTGTGTGTGTGTGTGTGTGTGTGTGTGTGTGTGTGTGTGTGTGTGTGTGTGTGTGTGTGTGAGCGTGTGTTTGGTAGTTTGTTTAGTGTGATCCAGTGATAGATTTCTGTGTGATCTGAAGTGAGAGCTACTTTTTTTACTGGCAGGAACATCTACTGTATGTTGAAAATCTTAATAGTGATTTTCATTGCACAAAAAAAGTTCAGTTTGGATAAAAATTTGATCCAGTACTTTTGTGTTTGTGTGTGTCTGTGTGTCTGTGCCAGTTTCCCTCTGTTACTCATCCTCAGACTTTGGAGAGAAGGTACCAAGGCATCTTGAGTGGTTTGATGTTGGATCTGATGAAGGTAAAATACCAAAGAATATGCCAAGTACTCAAAATCAAACAGAATTTACATGGACATCCATCCTTAATCTATCCACTTTTATTCCTATTAACCTTCATCAATAATTCATATTTGTATTGATTACATTTGAGATACAAACCACTAAAATATGTTCTTTCCATGTGCCTTTTTTCATCAGAACCTGTTGCTGCTAAACCCGACTGAACGTTATTTGACAGAGCAGAGTTTGAACCACCCGGCCTTCCAACCTCTGAGGCAGGCAGAGAGAGAGCGGCCTCCTCCTGCATCTCCCAACCCACCACGCTCTTCCAAGAGGAAAACACACCATCATGGAGAGAACACAGTTCCTACAAGGTTAGACTACGTTCCTTTATTTTGACTTTCCTGCCATTGGCCGACTATTTCAGTCACCATTCTCCTCCCTTTTCACTATCTGCGTGTTACTGTTTTCAAAGTCCCTGTCACTACATGAAACAACACCAACCTCCGAGCTAGCAACCTCCACGCTGAAAATGGCAAGTTACCCTAACCCGGTCTCTACAAACGTAAACAAACTAACAGCTGTTACCTTTACATGCACACTCACATGCAAATGTAACATCAAAACAAGTTCCCCCCAACACTATTAGATTAAAACTACCTATCTAGGGCCAGTGTTTGGTTTGTCCGTTCTGAGCTACTGTGGAAAAGTGGTGGCCTCCATGGGAGGCAACCCGAGTGATAGTAGATATAAAAGACTCATTCTAAAGAAAAACATAAAGATTCTTATTTTCTTGTGATTATACATTAATGAAAACATAGTTTTGTATATTATATGCCATTTCTGCCAATAGATCATCCTAAATGTTACACACTGGACCTTTAAGCCGGATATAATGCAAGTGTATTGACAACCTTATTTGTCCGTCCATCTGCCCCTCCAGGAGTCACACTAAGAGCACGAGCCGTCGCTCCAACAGCAAAGAATGTTCCAGCCTCCCTCGCCATGGTGACCTCCATCACCTCAGCAACAAGAGTTTCTTAAATGGTAACAAACCACCCCCGTCCAGTTTAAGTCCTACGCTCCACCCCAAGGGCCAGTACATGTCTCAGACCCTTAATCGTTCTGCCTCATCCAGCAAAGACCTGGCTAACAACAACCTGCCACACCTCCTTAGTCCCAAAGAAGCCAAAGGCAAGACAGAGTTTGATTTTAGCTTGGGACCCTCCCCAAAGCTGCCAGACCAGGGACACGGGGCAAAGTATGGCCACAGCAAACCAAGCTCCTCTCGCTCTCAGCAGCAGCAGCAGCAGCAACAACAGCAGCAGCAGCAGCAGCAGCAGCAGCAGCAGCAGCAGGCCAGTCGCCACACCTTCCTGGAAAACAAGACCAACACACTGCAGTCTGGAGCAGACAAACAACATGGCCGACACGTCCATAGTATGGCCGACTCTGCCCACGGATCCATGTCCTCCTCTTCTAAGAGTTCAGCCTCTTATCTGAGCCTGTCCAAGAGCCACAGCGCGCTGAGTGATGCCAAATCTGTAGGAAACCTCAGCGATGGTCGACTCCACCCAGATGACCCAAACTCCAGCTCAACAGCAGGGGTGGGGCCCAGTGCCCGTTTCTTCCCCGCCAGTTGTTTAGACCTCAACACCACTTCAGGTCTTCCGGGGCCACCCGGCAGCCCCTCTGCTCGACACAGCGATCGATCCGGGCACAGCCCCGCCTCTCGTAGCAGCGGGAATGTCCGCATGGAGAGCAGCACACTGGACTCCTCATCCAGACACAAATCTAGACATAAAACTTTAGCCCCAGGTAGGTTTAAGAGATTACAAAGATTTGTATTCAAGATTCAACTTTATTGTCCACTAAATTAAAAGTGTGAATTTGCATTTGGCTTCAGGCTTCAACCAGATTTAATTTTTTATTTTATGTAAAGTATTTATGTACAATGCAACAAACTCTAGATCTCAGAGCCCACCCTAGCTCAACAAAAACAGACAGAAAGCCATATTACTAATAAGTAACTAACATATCACCTATGACATACACAGTCCCCACAGAAAAAAGACATGGGTCTTCCTCTTGAAATGGTCACCACATCTTTTCTCCAGCTATACCTAATTTAAAAGCCATTTTCCAGTCTTTAGGCTGAGACCATCCCAAAATATACAACTAACTCATAATCTACCTGTAAATATCTGTCAGAAATAAAAAAGAAGAAGTAACAGTGAAAAATTAGTTTTCTGTTTTATATCTGTATCTGTGAAATTTGAAGATGTCACTGTGGACTATGGGTATTCTTCACCCAGTTTATAGATTGAACGCTTAATCGAACAAAATAATAGAATAATCGACAATGAAAATAATCATTACTTGAAGCTCTAATGACTTTTCTAATGACTCTTTTCGCTCTTCTCCTGTCTTCGTCTCCAGAGGAGGCCGGTGCTCCGGAGCTCTTAGACCCAGGAGGAGCAGGGATGCCCTCCACTCACACTCTGCCTTCTCCACATGAGTCTTATCATTATGGCCTAGGCTATACTTCCCCCTTCTCCTCTCAGCAACGTCCTCAACGCCACTCCATGTACGTGAGGAGGGAGCGCCACCGACCACACGGGGTCGAGAGTGGGATGGCGGGCTTGCCTGCGCCGGGGCAGGCGATACCGACACGTGCCAGTAGCCTGCAGCTCCTCTCCCCTCAAATGCAGCACCGGACCACCCTCACTGGACATTCAGTGAGCTCTTCAAGAGAGGACTGCACTGATGACATGACGAGGGTTAGTGACAGTCCTGTGAGTGTGGTGGTAGTTAAAGGAAACATTAATACAAAAATACTGACACTAACACTATTAAAAGGGTCGTATAGGATCCATTATAGCATATGGTGATGTATTACTATTATTTCCAGGAGTAAAAGGCCGATTGTAGACAATATATATTCTACCACAGCTACAATATTAGGAATATTAGAATAGTATTATTCTGAAAAAATCACTATAACTTCAATAGACCATAATGCAATCAAACTATTGTTGCTCCACCAGCACTATCACTGAAGCTCTCCACCTGCACTTACAATCCACATCTAAAGGCCACAAGTTAACACCGTTTAATAGGCGTTTGTTTGTTTTGTTTGTTTTTTACCTTTATTTCACGTGGAATATTCCCAGTGAGATTCAAGATCTATATATATATAAGTATAAGTTTCAGATAAAAGAAAAAACAATAGATTTAAAACAATAAACAGTACTAGGAAGTGTTAAAGATTAATCTGGGAAATGTTGGATATAACAGAAGCAACAGACGATGAGGCAGGTTGATGAAAAAAAGGGTAAATACACAGGACAAAAAATACCACATTTCCTGATTTGCATTCAAGCCCACACATTCAAGGTATTAAACATCGTCAGTGTGTCTGAGGGTGAATTTGTTCTTTAATACATGTATTGGCAATGTGTGCAAGAATGCATATTTCACAAGTTGATGTGTGTGTGCAGGGACTGTCACTGTCTCACATTATCATTGCCTCTGCTTCATGCTGCTTGTCCAGTCTGCTTTGACCTGCGCCTGTCCGTCTTCTCAACAGAGTGAGCAGTCCCCTAAAGACATGAGCCACCCTTGCGCCCCCATCAAAGACTCTACGAGGGACAACACTGCTGCTTTTCATACACAGCGCACTAAAAACGAGGTCCGACCCCCTGACTCCTCCCTCAGCAAACACAGCCAGTAGCTCTTCTGACCGCCGGTTTCCATAGCTTTTTCTGTTTCTACTCAGGTCAACAGCTTCACTGCACGTTGTCGCTGGTATAAATGTAACCTCACTGAAAAGCTCTAAGATTGTCCCGAATGTCTTGTTGATGTGAGCCAGCAAAGAATGTGATAGCTAATGATAAGCAATAAAGTGTGATTAAATGGAGATTATCAATCACAAAGCTGAAGATACTGAGGAACTTCTATTTGTACTTGTATGGTCCTGTGTCCATGTGTGTATTTGTGCGTTTGTGTGTCCACATGATGTCTGCGTCTCTTAGGTTGGTATGTATCACGACCCTCATGGTGACGATGGAGGTTCCTCCAAGGAGAACAGGATGATCTTCACTGAGTCTATGCCTCGGAGAGTAGGCAGCTTCTACCGAGGTAAGGAACAGGAATCACAGAAGAGATCTGTGTAGTGTGGCATCATGAAAGTGATTTCTTTTTGTTTTTAGGCAAGTGTATCTCCTTTAAACAAGTCAACTCAAAATGTTTCACATAACACAGAATGAGGCAAATAGAAAAGCTATTTAATGCAACATAAAAACACACATATAAATATGGTTCAATTAAATTTAAATTAAGCCCAAATGGAATAAAACAAAATAGGCAATAGCCATGCTAGCAGCTCTCTGTGGTTGTATTTGGCACAGATAAATGCTAACATGCTCACAATGACAATGCTAGCATGTTGAAGTTTAGCAGGTATGTTTACCATATTGGCCATCTTAGTTTAGTGCGTTAGAATGCTAACATTTTAGCCGTAAACACAAAGTACATCTGAGGTTGATGGGAATGTCATGGTTTTGCAAGTACTGGACAAATTACATTTTGACCTCACGACAGTGCTAGAGGAAAAGTTGGGTTATTAAAATATTACAATTCGTTCTCAGGAATGCCAAATTTGAAGGATCCAGTGTGTTATCTAGTATTGAAGTTGCAACCATTTGAATAGAGCTTTTTTGCCAATAGATCGTTCTAAACGTTACACACTGGATCTATAAAGGTGAGGTAAGCGAATCTGGAGAAATTGCTGAATTTGACAAAAAGTGTGTTGGATTAGAATTGCATTACCTAGAATCGTTTACCCCACCTTTAATGGAAATCCAATGTCAACCTGCTGGTGGCACCAGAGGAAAAGGCAGAGGATCAATTGAAAACCAGAGTCAGTAGGATTCTTCTTCTGGAGATAATGAATATTTCAGGGTAGTCTATTTAATACAGTGCAGTTAAAGTGAAAGATATAAATAAATAGCTCTAAAGTTTCATGATCATTGAAAATGGATTAAATATATACAAGGCTTTTAATAATCGTCTCTACTCATTGTTTCTCTTCAGTCCCGTCCCCAAGACCAGATAACCCCTCTTCTTTCCATGATGGTGTCGGGCAGGGTCGAGGGCCAGTTGTGCCGGTTGTTCCCGTAGATCCTGTTGCCATGGCCAACCACTCCAAACGCCAGACGGCTTTTGACTGGTGAGAATATTTGTTTTGTTTTTTTTAAACTAGCTTGGCATTTTTCTTGATTGTAACTTCAGGCAATGCTGCAGTAGATAGCATTGTTATACATTCAAGGTTGTACATCCACACTGAGTTGTAAAATGTTCCTCACTGTCACATGAAGTCTGTCTCAACACTAATAAGGATCCGTTAGATTTTACTTACTTAGGATTACTTTGTGGTCCTACTGTAAAGACAGATGATCACATTCTCTAAATAACTCAAATTAAATAAGTGAAAACATGTTGTATTGTAGCATTGACATTTAATTGAAGCAAAGATTTTCTTTCATGTGTTGACTATTTTTGTTTCAGTATTTATTGATTTATTGTCATGATAAATGACATACACATTAAAGCTGGCTGATGTTTAAATGGACTGCATTTATATAGCAGTCCCTTTAATATACATCCATTAACGTCCATTACATTCACTACTTTGCCAAACAAGTTCACACAATGCTGATTAAGCATTTCACCACCAGGTAAATCTCTGTATTTTGCGTATTGTATTTTTGAGTTTTTAATGTGGAGTCTATGGTTACCACACTGGAACAGCAGTACTGATGCGACATAGATCCCAGCAATGCCAGTGTATCAAACCAGAAAGGGCGTATCTTCTCACCAGTAAAAGAGGCCCAGTCCGACCCAGAGTTATGGTTGAGTTGCTTGCCAAGCCCTGTTCTCCAACTCCATCTGCTACTCTGTGGATGTACCATTTAACCACCTGACTCCCAGGGAAAGCTGACATTAGCAAACTCGATGGACTCCAAGAATCAATAAGCTTGTCTACTAGGTGGAAGAGGCATCACTTGGATTTATTCTCATTTCCCAACAGTTATATGTCTGATGCGAATTACTTTAGTTTCCTTCCTTGGTTCCCAAGGAGGAGTTTTTTGTTGAGATAGACTGTATTATTTAAAATTTTTGTAGTCTCTATGACGTCACCCATAGGTTCCTTAAGAGCTGTTGTGAAGCTCAAATTGTGGTCGGCTCTGGCCCTTGCCATCTTGGCATTCCTGACTCCGCCGGCTCCCGGCTAATTCAAAAATGAGGAGCCACCTTTGACGGCACCCACCTGTCACTCACTTAATTATGCATTTAAACAAGGTGCGTTATATAAAAAATCACTGCCCATAGAGTTGTCATGAATGGGGAATTTAGCTACAGAGACAAGACCTCTTTTTTTTTGCTGTGAAGTTGGGCATTTTAATATGGGACCTTATGGAGATTTCCTGACTTCTGTAGCCACCCTTGAGTGGCCGTTCGAGGAACTGCAGTTTTTGTTACTTGCGTGTTGGCTTCATTTGGTAGCCACAGAGGTTGTCGCTTGATAAGGACTCATTCATTGTTAGTTGAATTGTGGGTTTTGTATTGAGCACTGGCTGTAGTACACTGTGGTGGACTTCTTGTGGTTTGTGTAGTTACTCTCACTGCCAGAGGGGGAGACAAAAGTTCCACAATGCAGATTTAAGTAAACGAGAAAAATGACTTTGGTGTTTGTTTTTTTCACTATCCTCAAATGTAAAAAAAAATATGTGTTTTTGTAATTTTATGTTTTGAAGTGAAAAATTTGAATAGTTGTTAGCTAGCCTAAAATTGAAAGCTTAAAAATAGAGTTATTTAAACATCAGTTGCAGTCCTCCATTGTGCTACTGGTGTTATTGTATTGCCTTTTCTGTATGTGTGTCCTACTCATCACATTTTCTATTTAGGTTGTGCCCTACTCTTTGAGACACGCCTGAGAAGAAGTCACGATTTAATACTGAGCTTGAAATCAAAAACATGAGTCATATGAACTTTTTCACATTTGCCTCGTAGGACCACCGCAGAAGCAATGGTCATGAATCCTCCAGAGCCCACCAAAGAGAAGGAAAAACAAGGCTTCTTCAGAGCCATTAAAAAGAAAAAGAAGAAGACACAAATAGTAAGATCATTTAAGTCATCAGCTGTCATCTAGCACAGATAGAAATATTTCCTTTGGTTTGATGTGTTCTCTTCTTATCTATAAAGTTAATTTTACTGTGTAGTAAGTGCATTTAAAAGTGATTATCGTGTGTTTAACAGTGTGAAAACTATGTGAACTTACTGTGTAAATCTACAGTGATATTAACCACCAAGAGTGTTAAAGAGTAATTCTGGGTTATTGCAACATGGGTCTTATTTTTCGTAGTGTCTGCCATCATTCCTAGTAGTAATAATAATGTTGGAATTGAATTGCCAAAATCAGGGAATATAGCAACATCGCTACAGTGATGTGTCAGACTTAAATAAAAACAACCAGGCTATTCAGATTTAGGTGAAATTATTTTCCAAACTGTTCGCTGTAAATCGTTTACAGACCAGCTTCTAGCCCCACCAACCTACTGTACAAAATATAATATAATACAAATATAGCTCTTCTAAGCTAAATTCTAATCATATTTTCAAAAAATTGACAAAAGAAAATATAAATGAATGCCACTATTGTTATACAAATATTATAAGTTTGAGATAAGTGCTGCTATTTTTTCCATGACATTAAACCACAACAGAAGAGGAGGGCGCCCCGATGTCATCAATATCAAACAAGGCATGATGGAAAAAAGGCATTTATGTTCGTTTTATCTATTAATTCGAGGAAGGTTACAATCTCCTCCGTCCATATGTATCTGAGGATTTTGTCTGCACCATCTTTCATCTCTCCAGTGGAATGGAAGCTTGTGTGACCTTAAGTTAAGAAATGTTTTATGATTAATTCATTAAGTCTGTTTCCATTGCTCTTGGTTGCATTTTCTTTTTATCAATACACCCACTTTTCCATCTCAGCCAAGTGTAAAACTGAAATATTTCCCTTTTTTTTTGTTAATTTCAAAATGAAATTTGTACTTTTATGTGCAAACTGAAATGTGCATTAAAGAAGATGAATGGAAACACTTTTATTACAATTAGGGATTATTACCAGAATCAGAAGCAGCTTTGTTTTTTCCTCCAAACAAAGTGCTAGATAACCTGACTAAAATGTTTGCTAAAATGTTGCCATGTCAACTACTTTGGCTAGTACAATGTTATTATAACAGATAGAAATGATGGCCAAAATATAAGGCACAATTCGTAATAATACAGAATGATCCTTTAATGCTGGTCCGAATTCCCACTCTCTCTGTTTTCTTTCCTGTTTATCCTAACAATCAAATCTTCGTGCTGTTAATGATCTTTTCCTCTTTATCTATTGTTGAGTGGTATTTATTTAGATGGTTGTGCATCAGGTGCTGCAGTTGTTTTTCTTGTATACTGTCAGAAATTTGTGTTGAGAGTTGTGGCTGTGCGTCTTCTGCTTCACAGACGGACATGGAGGACGGGAGGAACCCCAGCATCAGGAAAAGCCTTTTCCCCCTCTTTAGCTCGAAAAATAGCTTAAAGCACAACTCAGCTGTCAAAGTCCTACCTGTAGTCGCCTCGCCTATGGTACAACACCAGCCTCCCGCGCCCTACCCTGCCTCACCAGTAATCTAACCTCAACACTACGACTGCATGTTAACTCACACCGCACTCACCAGAATGACCTGGTTTGAAATCCTCTCAAGAGCCTGATGATTGATTGACTGAGAAATCTTTCAAATTGAAAGGATTTCAAATATGTTTCGAGTCTAATACTGCACGGTGTTTGTGCATCCATTTTGTCTCGCTATAATGTATGTCAAATGCAGTCACCTTGCATTCACATTGCATTGTACAACATTGATTGATTTCATGCTCCAGGGTTTGCTGTTTGTGAGGCCGACAATTCTGGGTCCATTATGGACTATGTACTGTGCTGAAATAATAGTTTAAAGGAAAAGTTCAACATTGAAATGTGCTTTCACGCTGAGAGTTAGATGAGAAGGTCAAAACTACAGATTGGAAACGGGGGAAACAGCTAGCCTGGTTCTATTCAAAGATAAAATCTGCTAACCAGTACCTCTAAAGCTCATATTCTCATATAAATAATTAAATAATCCTTTTAAGTCAGTTATCAAGCCAAATATTTGCCTGTCTCAGCTTCCCAAAAATGAGAATTTGGCACTTTTCTTTGTTTTATATCAATTTAAATTACATCTCTTTTCCAGACATTAACTTTAGCTCTGGAAAATTATGAATCATGAATTAGGATAAATAAAAAAAAAAAATCAACAGATTAACTGATAATGAAAATCATTATTTAAATGATAAAGGTTTTTATGTTAATATGCACGTATGTGTCTGAAATAAAGTTAAATTAGTTAGTTGCAGCCCGGCAGTGAAAACACACTCAGAACCAAAGCTTTTGGAGAACTTGTGCATTTTTTTCTGTATAAAATCATCACCATCCCCACCTCCTTGTGTTTTGTCTGGTGCTGCCAGAGGGATGCATGAAGAACCTCACCAGGATTTGAGATGTGGTTCGAGTGAAATGTGTTGTATGCCTGAAACCTCACCATAGAGGGACTAACTTTTACATTAAATAGATATTTTGGATAACTAATGATAATATGCCTGTATTTTGTTAGGTTCCTGGTAACGGACAAGAACACCTGTCCCTGCAGAGGAGCTCCAAGTCATCTTCTCACCACGGCAGCCGGAGGAAAAATCGCGAGCGATCCCGAGACAGAGACCGGGAGCGGGAACAGAGCCGAGACCGAGACAGAGAGAGAGAGAGAGAACGGGAGAGAGAAAGAGAGAGAGAAAGGGAGAGAGAGAGGGAAAGAGGGAGGGAGAGAGAGAGAGTTAATGATTGGCCACCAGAAAAACCAGTGGACTCACACTCTCAGGTATTAACATACTGGAGACTTTAGAGACTGTATTTGTTTGACCCAGAGCTCAGTCTGTCACAAAAATATCATAACAGCCCTTTAGTGTCAGTCATGATTATGCAAATGGTGCTATTTAAGTGACATAAGAGGTATTTGTAGGTTAAAGTCATACAAATTGGTTCTGCATCTGCAACACATGAAAGCCTTTGTACAAAGAAGTTTTGTATTCAGAAATGCAGGGGTTGTCAACAGGAAGTGTTGAGGAAGGAAGAAGGTGTTGGGCCTTAACTCATTTAGTTATTTCAGTGAATATATTATAATATTATAAAATGCATACCATGATATAAAAATTCCGTGCCAGCCTCTGTGAAAATCATCCTTTTTCAAGGCAACATGTCACAAATATATTATTTGCAGACAGGTGGTTTAAATGTATTGAATGGATCTGCCAGGTCTTCATCAGGCAAAAGGCTAACATGACAAAGATTTTCATTTAGATTACAGACTCAAAAGTAAATGGAAATGAACAATACAATCCTTCAGATATATTATCAGAAACTGACAAAATTTGGGAAAAAAACAATCACAAAAATGATAGATAGAAGGGGGGGTGGGATATTAGAGCTCCTTATAGACCCCAAACTGGAATTCAAAAGAGAGAGAGTCTTGCATGCAATTATTCCTAGATATACTTTTAAGATTTACATTGGAGGAATGAACACAGACAGGGTAGGGAAGTCAGAGTACTGAGAGACTTTTTGTGAGATTTGTGGACAATAAGAAAAATATAGAAACCACATCATTTAAGATCATTTGTCAACGGTATCTCTTTCTCCCCTAACAGAGTCAGCCACTCAAGTCACTCCGCAGGCTGCTTCACCTTTCCCCATCTTCCTCAAATCAAGGGCAGCCTCCTCCACCTCCTCCAGACCTGCGCTTCCAAGCCCCACTCCCCAACCCCCCTCAGCCCTCCTCCAAAGCGGGCTACTCTGAGGGTCGAGGGCACACCGAGAGCAGGGGGCACTCTGGGGTGAGCAGCTCCGCCCAGGCTAAGAGCCGCAAGGCCAGCTACCCCCTCCCCGGACAGATCGAGTCCAGCTGGCATGTGTCTGCTTTACAGCGGGCGGAGGGCGCTCAGTTCACCCCAGAACAGCTGGGCATCAAACCTGGGCAGAACGGACCCACCTTTACCCGAGCCTCCCGCAGCAGGATGCCAAACCTCAACGACCTGAAGGAGACCGCGCTGTAAACCCCTTCCCCCCTAACCACACCACCTCCAATACGTCTCCATCCTGGAAGCATCTGCCAGACGCAGACATCATGGTACTGTAGTAAAAGTTTACATGAAAGCCTATTTCACTGGATCAAGTCCTCATTCAGAAACGTAGTTATTTGTTGATGCTCATGTCTCTGAAATCTACAAAGACTAGACGTTAACACCAGTAACAGTGTTGTTTAAGGATTCAAAGACAGGAAAGGGCTCCCTTTCCCTCCCGGGATGCCAGTACATCAGTTGTTTGTAATGCTCTCTCTACTTAACAATGTTAGAACACCAGAATGAGCTGATCTTTCCTGTCAAGGAGACACTGCCCATGTGGCCTCTTTGCTGCCATCTTCTGCTCACAGGACACTACGGCAACACATCAGACAGCCACTGACACACAAGTGGCCAATAAACTCAAATGTTTTTCAAGCTCTGATATTTGATAAGAACAAAAAAAAAAGATTTATATCAACAGTATTTATTAAATATTTATTTGTTTTAAATTCAAGGATATAAGCTATAAATGACACAGTATGTAGGCTATATGGGAATATTATAAGGTAATATAGAATTAAATGTGTAATTGCAAGAGCTTTAGTTTCGACACAAAGAAATGCATAGATATTTATGTGTTGATAATACAATATGTCACAAAGAATATTTAATAATGGTGAATGTCCTTTTTTTGTTCAATTTGATATGTTATTAACAGATTTTCATGTTATATCATGTTATTTTTACCATTGTTTGTGTTTGTTTCATCCAAATGTAAAGAATTATTGCTAAATACTTGTTACTAAAAGTGGGGAAAAAATCTTGGACTTTACATCTAGTACAAATCTGCCCATCACCCTCATGACATCAGTTTTGAAATTTTGTGACGAGTCGGGCTATTTGTCAACAAGGTTTGGTAGCAGAACAGCCGAGTGAGACTGTTAGGCTCTGTGCTTTACATACAGTAATTGTCAGTTCACTTTTTAAGTCCCACTCTAGGTGTCACCATTTAAAAATAAACCCCATTTTCAGTTCATTTATCAGCTTTTAACAGCTTTCCAGCTCCATGCTGCCATGTTGGTTTCGTCCACCGCCTTAAGAGCAAGTAACGGGCATCAAGACTTTGGTTCCCATTGGTGGTGAAAAGTTAGCCTGAGGTTTGACTAACTCAGACACAACTTCTCAAGATAGTAGGAGAGTTCTCCACAAAAAGGCATACCTCACCTACAACCTTTAAGATCTTGAAGGTTAAGTCTGGTGGTATTTTATATTTTCGTAATGTGAACAAATCCCATTTAAAGACAAAAACCAACAATGAATCCAACCTGCTAACAAGTGCTGTCTGTGTATCCTAAATGTGATATAGCTTATTGCTCTGTGTCAAAGTTGTTGTCCTAAAACTCTTAAAAACATGTTCCTTCATTACCATGGGCACTGTAGTTTATTTTGAACCAATCACACATACCCCATCCTGCTGCTGTAAATGCTCACTAAACAACAAAATGTGTATAAATCCGCAGCTGAAAGTAGTCCCCAACAAATGCACATACATAAAACTACAGTGCCGAGTGGTTTGCAGTTTTAAGGCATGATTTAGAAATCTCATAAAACAAAGCTAACTAAAATAAAACTACATATATGTAACAAGTTTTTAAAGATTAACATCGTCAGTAGGAACCAATGGTCTTGGGGCTGAGTGCCACTGACTGGTTTGGGGAAGTCAGAAAGTACTGAGGGACGAATTAAGGCTGCATTCAGACTGACTTAAGCAGACCTCTTATTAATTTGAACAAGGCCAGTCCGGCAACGTAGTGGGGGTGCCAAAGCAGGAGGCTACAGCAAAACAGCGCATGACCATCTCAACGTCACTTAAATACATACTAGCGCACATTGCTGGTAGATTTCTTGTTGCCTGTAATGTGAATGTTGTATTTATTCATCTCACAGTTGTTGTGATGATAGATAAAGTAGTTGCCGCCGTGATAACTCTACAAGGTTGTAAAAACTCTACCGGTCACAGAGTATTAGAAATAGTTGTGTTGTGTTTGGCATCTAATAAGCCTTTAAATTGAACTCAATATGAAATAACAGGCCCGTGCCAATGCAGCCTTTTGTGTTGTAACACAGGGCTGTTTTGGGCCCACTAACGCACTGTTGGTTTTGTTTTTATCATGGGATTTGTTGACAATAAGAATGATGTATAATTGCACCAGACTTGTCCTTTAATATGTGTGTTTACATTTTTCTGTGTGCATTTTAAAACCTTGTTTTATCAAACTTTTTGTATCGGAAATTGGATTTCCTACTTTATTCGCATTATTTTTAATATCAATAGTCATGATCAGGGATGATTTTACCTAACTAGGTTATTCATAAAAGCATTTACTTGTTATCTACTGACCTGTGGATGATAAAAAAAAAAAAAAAATTCAAAGTTGTATAGAACAATACACTATTTGTGGCCTAGGCAAAACATACAGCATAGTTTTCCTTCGTTCCTTCCTCCTCTTCTGTGATTTTAAAGTGAAGTTTTTATATCACAGAAGGAGGGAAAAAAGGATGGATGCATTTGTGCAAAATTTAAAACACCTGTGGACTAAAGAGAGAGTTCAGTTTTGGAGAATTTTACGTTTTGTTTCTCATCTGTTGGATATGATAAAAATGGAAAAGAAAAAGAAAAAAGGAAAAAAATAAATGAACCAATTGACTACAAGGCTGATTGAAAGCAATAACATTCAGAATGAGACTTAGACTGATGCAGATTGTACTAGCTAAATAACTGGCTAGTTAATTTGGAGCTAAATATAGCACAGAGAAGGATTTCCAGTAGGAGACTGTGATTAAATCAAGTGTCCACACATAATATCAAGACATCGCTCTGCAATACATTTTTTATTTTCAATTCGTCCTTGAACATGATTCAGGACATGTAAAACTGCCCCATGTTGTGTATTATGGAAAATCCTGATTGCTAATGATTGTAAATGACTGCTGACGTGGGTTTGTCTATATCATTAATGGGATAGAGTGATGACAACGCTTGCCTTGCCAGTGACCCGAAGCCTTATATTAGCTTACTGACTCAACACTTCAGATGGAAATGAAGGCTTCAACCCCCCTGTAAGTCACATACACTGAGAACTGAGATGAGAAGAAGATTTTATGTTCACAAATATGAATGTGTTTCCTAAAACATCAGTTCTTTTTTTTTCATTAAGCCGTTTCCCACTTCTTACAGGGTGTAAATAGAAATAATAGAGTGTATCTATACTCACCATTCTACTTTAAAAATGATAGGGTCTCATAATAAAAGCCAACTGTACATTTTTGAACGGCTCATATGTTTGTTTTGTAGCACAGACACAACATGAGAACAGACATGATATACGTATTCATTTAATCAAGGAAATAGTTTAAAGATACAATAAAGAACACATATTCAGAGTAAAACACTCTGCAATGTATTCCCAAAGCACCATGGGACATTGAATTGAAATGTTACAGAAACAAATCAGGAGTTCACCACAATACAAAACCACATCTGAATATTAGTGACTTGTCCATCCCTCGATCTTTATATAGCACTGAAAAGTGACATTTTTAAAAAAAAGTGCCTGAGATAAAAAGTGAATGTGTTTACAAACAAAGAAGAGAAAACAGGAAATAAAATCCAACACATATTTAAGGAAAAAGTCGGGAATTATTGCGCATTTTTCTTATTTCAAAAAACAAAACAATGAAAAGACCAAAATCAACAACATGTTAGTTCTTTTCTCAATACTCTCTGGCTTCTTTGTCCTGTTAGCCTTAAACCAATCGTGCAGACTGAAGACGAAAATCTTTTTTAAAAAAGGGGATCACAACTATATACTTTTATATTTAAAAAAGTAATTTTCTAAAACAACTGGGCACTGTAGTTTTTAGTAAACATTACTCAAACTCAAAGTAAATGTATTTGTTGGGGACTATTTTTAAGTATTTAGAGCAGCAGTTACTGATTCAAAATAAGCCACAGTGCCCATGTTCATAGTAACAAAGTCACAATTCTAATAATAATAATCAAAATAAATATATTAAAAATAAAGGAATAAGATTTATCAGGCTTTGGCCACACAAACAATACTTGTCTTTAGGCTCAATTCATTTGGTGGTTTTGGTCTTTTCGTTGGATCTGTTGACAGTAGGATGTAAAATGTAGAATATCATCAGCTTTATCCTTTAAGGAAGACAGACTGACTTTCTGAGGTGCAGAACTGTAAATTCCCTTTTTTACCATTAAATATTGGGAGAAAAAGACATAATTTCACATGTCACAGAAGGATGAGAGCTTGACTCAGACCGGTGGATACAACCTCCATAGCAACGCTACTGCACCCTCTCAATGCCTAATTATTGCTTTGAATTTATGCCATTTCATTGCAAATGGAATAATCTATTGAGAACTCACCAAATTAAAGCCCCCAGTGTGACACTGGTTAAACAGAGACAATGGAGAGTGGAGCGAATGAAAGCTCATTGAGCATATCAAACAAATATTTTAATGAAATCACATCACAATCACAAGTCAAAATGTCTTGTTGGTATTTTAAAAAGGTTTTAAACAGAATATATTTTCCTCAGCTTGTGGTTTTATACATGTAGCTGGAGGGGGCCAAATCTGTGGATGTGAGAGCAGACCACGCACTCTTACAATGAGGCTTTAGGTATAGATTAAGTTATAGGGCAAGGCCTCGGGGACGGTGGGAGGAGAGGTTCAGATGCATTTGTTCATGCAGAGCAGCAGCTCCATGCGCAGAGCAATGCGTGTGTGCCATCCGAGGGGAAGGATGCGGATGTAGCGAGCCACAATCGGTGGCCGCAGGAGGTTCTGCACAGATGAGGAGCGGTCAGAATTTCCATAAAACACCTGTGGAGAGAGAGACAGGACTGATTACTTTACACTGACTGAAATTGACTAAGCATACAGCTTTTTACATTAAAGTTACTACTGTTACTACTACTAATGGTGATAATAGTTCAGTCAGGACCACTTTTGTAATTGTCCAAATGGAATCTTAGGAGGGAATCAGCTGATGTGTGTTGCTAATGCTGCACTCAATTGATAATAATTAATTAATGTAGAGCTGCAGAAAACAATTGTTTTTGTTACTGATGATCAATTAGTTGTTAAATCTCAATTTTCGAGGTCAAGGCGACATTTTCAAATTGTTTATTTTGTCAGACCAACAGCCCAAAAACCAAAGATTTGATTTAAAATTATACGAAGTGAATAAAAACAGTTAATTCTCACACTGAGAAGCAGAAACCAGTGTTTGGCCGTTTTGCTTGATGAATTATTACAATTATCAAAATTGTTATCAACTGATTTTCAACTAATTCAACTAATTCATTAGTACAATAATGCACTGTAGGGAAAACATAAAAAATAAAAGACATTGGCCATAAGATTCGGATCAGATTTCATAACATTTGAATTACATCATGTTCTTCATTAGATTATTTGTCAAGACATATTGTTTATAAAAAAAAGATCAGTGGTGTCTAAGCGTTTCCTCAAGCTTTCCTCAAGTATTCTACAAGTTTTTTAGTTTTGAATGAGTTCAACTGACCCTGTTGTTTCCAGTCTGGTCTTTGTAATAGATCCAGTTGAGTGTTTCATCTGTGCGGTACTGAACGCTGTACTTTGTGATCCACTCATCAGCGTCACAGCGGCCCTGAGTGAGGATGCCTGACACCACCATCACCTTGTTCAGGTCAATCTGCAGCCACTGACTGCTGTCCTGGAACTTAGACAGCCAGGCACACCTGGTGGAGAAACACAAACATACATAAACACATAATGCAGCAGTTAGGCTGCTTTACTACACATGCACAAAAGGACAATGGTTCAGTGTTTTCTTAGGGCAGATGACAGAGATGTATAAATTATAGACAATTAAAATTGAAAAGATAGACAAGTAGATTAAAGGTCTTTTTCACGGCAGACATTTTGACTTGTCAAGTGTCCTAGTCGGTCATGACCCAATACCAGGACTCTGAAAACTAATCAGCCAAATGAAATTCAAAGCCATCATTTATTTTATTATTTACATCTGAGCTTTTCCTACTGTAACCTGTCACAATGTCTGCTATGAAAAAGACCTGTCGTTTTGGGAAAGATACCAAACTGTATTTTTTAGGAAATATCTGATAAAAAAAAAAAAAAATTTAAGAATCTGGAGGCCCCCTGGTAGCATAATGGTTAAGAAGTGTACCCAAATAACTGTGGTAATGTGTCAGACAGACATCTGTTACATCTGACTGTTACAGTCTGGCTGTCAAATAAAGGCAAAATGCAAAAGAAATCTCACCCAGCCTGCTATACCAATTTGGGTATATGACAGTTTTTGATACTTAAGAATAGATTTTAGTCTGTATTCAAAAAGTATTGTAGTATATACAGACCATTTTGAAATACATAGCGTTAAAGCTTTTTTGCTTTGCTGTTGTTTGATATTGGAAGATTTAGGTATTTTCTTGAAGAAAGATTTACTTTATCATCAAATTGTTTATTTATTTATGCATTTAATTTAGCATATATATTCTTGCAATGTATGCCTTATTTATATTTTCATGATTTAAAGCAAGAACATATTGGCAGTCAACCTTACCAAATGCACCTTGCATAATGAGAGAGGGGTTATATTTTCTCTCAGTGCATTTTTTCTAATGCTGCTCCTCACAGATGGCAGTGGCCCAGACATTTGTTTATTACGGTCTTTTCACTGACACAGAACAGTCAACCACGTCTGGCAAAAGCAACATTTTGTTCAAATGAACAGCATTCATTGCATGAGATAAAAAATACATGCAGCTGTATAACTCTACAAATGTTTTTTTTTTATATCTGATTTGATTTAATTTATTTAGATCTCTTTTAGCTCAGTGGCTAATCTTCCAGTCCTGTCTTTGAGTCCACATTAATTATTAATTAATAATAAAGTCTATATGTTGGCCTGTACCTACCCAAAACCCTGACCGTTGAGCCGGGCCCTGCTCGGGAGCCATGAGGAGAACCAGCCGGTGTACTGGTCCTGGTTGGAGCAGGTTATCTGCTCTGGACTCACTGATCCAGCCTCAAAGCCCAGGGGCTTGTGGTATGGACACTCTGCAGGAGGATCAGAGTTAGAGTTATAACAGAGGTCTTAATTTAAATCTCTTATTGTCCTTGTTATTACAGTTCATATCAGTGTTTTTCACTTGAAAACCTCCTGGCTACATAGATTTCAAGGTCACCACCCCTGATGGCGGAGAACACAAACACATCTGCCAGCAGCTAAGCAGTAAAACACTGAAATGTGACCAGAAAATGATCATCACTAAGCCTTTGTACAGTAGGTGCTTAATTCTCCATCTCTTTATCCTTAGCTCTTTCTCCAACCTCACCCCTGCCGACTCCCATCCTCACACCCTTCCGCCTCCCAAAGCCACCCGCTGTTAGCAGCCCCAGTGTGACCCATATCCCATCCTAAAAGCCTGCAGTTTAATTCTCCGTAGTGAGAGATCAGTGATGTCCATTAGGGCGGCAGGCGGACAGATGGCCATGTTCTACTCTCCACAGATTTAGCTCCATGTTTTGATCTGTCAATCTGCACTCTCACTTTCCATTAAAATCACACGAGAGCACTCCTTTGCTGACTTAGTAAATATAAATTATAAAAATATGAATGGGAGAAATTAAAGAAACGTGTGAAGTTTTTTTCCCTAAAGTTTAAAAAAAAAATACGTGGAGCAGAAACCTGCTGCGCTTTTGTTTACTACTGGCTTAAGCCTATTTAGCACAGGGTCACATCCTGTCTAATCCCAGTATTACAACGCATTCAGCAGCACCAGTGCCTGTGTGAGTCAGGAGATAAGTGTTTACATAACAGCAATGTGAGTGACTTTGTAGTCCTCCCTAATGTATTTCACAACTAAAATAAAACATATTCAGATGGCGGATTGATGGGAAAACCAAGAGGTGAGACACGAGGAACTGAGATGGAATCAAATCGGAGGCAGAGAAGGAAAGTCTGTCTCACTCATCACCTATCACAACCAGGTCCATGTCGAGGTAATTACTGGTTTCTGTGATTGTGCGATTGGCACAGTCTATTAAGAGCCCCATAATCTGAGCATCACGTTCTGAGATAATGATTATCTACTGAACTTCTTTCTCCTCTCCGTCTTCGGTTGCCATGTGATTTGTGGCTCAGTTGACACACATTGATTCACTGAGGAAAGCCCTTTTCACTGTACATCAACTCTGCCTTTCTCTTCTCTTCAAGTCTGACATGATTCAAGTCTGATCTTTATATCACAGGCCCAATGAGGCTGCCCCAAAGTCCTTTTTGTTTGTTCGTGTGTTTGATCTTAAAAATAGATTTCACTGCATATTTGGTGGAAAGTTAAACCCCAGGCCCTGTCCTGAAAGTGATCAGACAAATGGAGATGTCCATCTGCTGATGAATATGATGTGATATGATCAAGAGCTCCACACTAGCTACAAATGGACCTCATGGTGAGATTATTTTGTCAACTGTTGTTTCAGGGAAAGAATTAACTTTCATTTTCAACCAAGTGAATAGTTTTTGGTTCATATCTGGATCCATGTGCAGGTCTAGTCTGCATGATTGCTGGGCACATTTTCTATTACTGAAATAGTAAAATTAGAGGATTGTGCCACCTTGGCAGAGGTATTTCTGTTTCTTTTCATGGTACCATCTGCATCAACTTCTATGAGGATGTCCAGTGGAGCATGTCCACCCTGTGGTGTCAAATCTGGAGTCTAATGCACTCATGCATGTACATGTAGAGATTTTCTTTCTCTCTGTCTCTATCACACACACACACACACATATTAAAACTCTACATCTATCTACACTGTAGATCTTACAGGTCGGCCTTTCAAATGTCATAATTTGAAATCTTGGTTTGTCTCATGTTATAGTAAATTTACTTTCTTTGGAAAGCAAAAATCATAAATAATCGTTGTTTGCTGACCTACTGCATTGTATGCTACATTTGAGTTAAACAATCGGACATACAGCGTATAATTCTTGTCCTTGTCCACTCTCTCAGTCAGCTCACAGCTGTTCATTATCTGAATCTAACACTACCATCACAATTTATTCAGTGTTACAAGTACTGTTATTAGTGTAATGATTCAATTTGATAATCTAATCAACAAAAGTCACCTAATTAGTAGGTCAAAGAGTGGCCTCATTAGAGCTGACAAAATCTGTGCTCAGTGTGTGGTAAAGGGCACGTGATGTTAAATTAATTTCTCACACATCCCTTATGAATGATTTAAGGGCAGTAAATTAATGGTGTATTTTTTTTTACAGGTTACTGGCACAAAAACAACAACTACACTTTGTGAAGGGTTTGTATCTGATGTCTCTTACTGTACCTGGCATGCAGTCCACTCCTCGCACCATGGAAGAGCCAGTCCCAATGGAGGAGAACTCAGTTGGGGCTTCTCCTCCTTCACAGTCACATTTGCAAGACCTTTTGGTCCATGCTTCAGAAACTTCCGCCTCATAAAAACACACACATTTAACATTTAATAGATGAAATCCAAACTAGTGTCATCAGAAATATCTAATTTATGAAACACCATTATTTTTAAAATACAGCTGTTTGTAAAAAAATATATATATATTAAAATAATAAAGACAATGATACAACAACAAGCTTCTAATATCTGATCACAGCAGATTTCCAGTGTTTTTTCAATGGAAATCATTTGACATTGACCAAAGTCAATTGGAGAAACATTGCTTAACTCCAAGCTGAGATGTCTCTGATGTGGGTGATGTAGATCAAGTGTTTAAAAAAACTGCATATTTTGTAAATACTGCTGATTTCAATGCTCTAAGAGTTAAATCATTGCTGATATTTTGCTGAGGTTTCTTCATACCTCTTGAGCATAAATGCTGATGAACACTGTTCAGGCAGATGGACAGAAAGATAAAAACAAATGCCAGCCAGCCGACGAACATAGAGGAGAAAAAAAAGACTGTTAGGACACAGTAGTCACCCATTGTAGCAAACAAAATCTGTGCATCAATCTGTCAAATTAACCACATTAAGAATAGGTAAATAAACACAACACAGACAGAGAATCAAGCATGATAATCTCAAGGATTACTGAGGAAATCTACTATATTTGTCAAATTCTCAGTTAGGAATCAGTTTGTCCTTTGAGATCAGTTTCAGCAGTTTCAGAGGCTTTCTTCAATGTGTTGAACCAGTTTGAGTTGATTAAACTTCTTCAAAGATTTACAATTCTAAACCACATAGATTATGGGCTCATAACGACCAGAGTGTAAAGACTTGAAATCGTACCGTTAGCTCCCAGAAGAAGCAGGGCCAGCAGAAAACGCTGCACGTTGAAAGCCATCTTCCAACCTGCTCCAAACCAGACGACACCGACTGTAGACTGAGCAACCAAGCCAGCAGTGATAGAGAGACTGGATTACAATAATCCACAGGACACTAATGGCCTTACCTAATGCCGTCCTTATCTGACAAAGCCCCTCCTACAGCTGTTCACCCACCACCATCAACGACCACCAGCCCCACCAGGCATTCTGGAAATCACTGCACAGCCACAGGGGTCAAGAGAAAAATCCAGGAGAATATATAAAAGCCAGGCTGGTCAATCAGTTATGTGACAGATTTAGGTTGTGTGTGTGGCTGGAGGGTGGTGATGGCTTATGCTGGGCCTTGTGATCCATATAATTGACCAGAAGGTCTACTTTTAGGCTCTCCTGAAAATGTTTCTGTGTTTGCTGTTTTCATTACCATGTTCATTTTAATATATAAAATAAATGATCAAATAAGAAGAAAAAAAAAAAAAACACTACTCATTTGGTTTCAGACTTAGCTGAGGTGCTGGAGCTATAGACTATTAAGCAATTAAAATCATCTGCAGACTCAAATCTGTGCATATGAGCTTGCTTTCTTTTCTTTCCTTGATCAAATGTTTGCAAAATAAATAAGATTTTTACACATGTCTAAGTATGTGGATGCTTTTCTCTATTGAATTTCTAAAGAGCAGCCAAATTTCTCGAGTTTAATGTATAACTACAATATTTAATAAAAAGGATAAACAACAGATTGCTTAATATATCAAGTTAATATACCGTATAGTTATAGTAACAACCTAAGAGTAAAGCAGACACAAATTTTGAATTCAGCAGATTTCCGGCATGTAGGAGGTGAAATTGTGATACTGTGTGTTTATATTTTTTTTCTATTAATGAGCTTTGAATTATTGTAGATCATGAGAAATGTGGATTAAACATCACCTGTGATGTTTAAAAAAAATTATTGACGGTCTTGTTCCTGTTTAGATTTGACTTTTGTGTCTACTGTAGATGCACAAGCTTAAGACGTCTGAACTCATGCTGAGGGTTTCAAAGCCTGGCGGGTGAAAGTAATTAAGCCTAATTAAAGCAAAGCTGTTTTCAATTTGTGTTCATTAAAACATCCTCTTTTCTCCTCACACACTCTTTTCTGTTCCTGCTCTCCTTCTGAATGCTCTAAATTTCATGAGTAGATTTCTTTCAGTGTTTTTGAATAAACTGAACAAAAAAAAAAGCAAAATGAAAGCACCTGTCCGAGCAACACACAGGATTCCTTTACAGACAAAGAAGAGGACTAGAGCTCACTCCAATCTCATCTACAGAGCTCATAAAGAGGTTAGAACTACAGCAAAAGCAGTAACTTGTGTGATGATGTGGTGACTAGAACTAAAAATTCTCATTTTTCATGGGATGATTTTAATGTTAAAGTAGGTCAAAAATCTTACTGGACTGTATAGGTCACAGTGATTTGGATTAAGACCATGAAAAGAATCTTCTGGTCTTAAGTGCAACTCAAAACCACCTGTGATTTATTTAGATTTTTTTCTTTTTTCCATGTCTCCTGCAGGTCAGTCCAACTGGAATGAGGAGTCCAGACTTCCTGGCCAGTCGGCTCAGTTGTCCCAAACCAGTCGTGCTCAGACTGGTGAGCTCAGAGGCTTCCAGGCTGTCAAAAACCAACAGACTGAAAGTCATCACTCTGCAGGAGATCAATGCTGCCGTCACACATGTGCAACAGAGGATTTGTACGAGAGCTGCCGCATAAAAGAGCTGGACTTGAGGAAGACAAGAATTTTATAAATGTTATCATTAAAGAGATTTTAATTTTTAATCTGTTGCCTTTTATGTGAGATGCAAGTTTTGCATGGTTAATAAAACAATAAGTAGTCAGCCTGTAGCAGTAAGTTACAGCTAATTTATCTATGGAAGATTGGATGACAAATTATGTTCAACAAATTCAAGTTGTACTGAAGTGAGACAGCAAATTCTCGGCTGTATTTTTCAGATTTGGTGCACTTTCTTGGCTAACATGCCTCAGTATGACTCATTTTTTCCAGTCTTTTAGATCAATTCTACCCTGGGGTAGAAGGTGAGCTCTCACTTCAGGTGAAATCCAGGAAGGTCTACTCTGCATTTAAACATAAAAACCAAAAATTGTGAGCAGGTTTTAAAATGAGCAAAAGTAGCCTTATTGCTGGCTTAAGTTTCTGTTCTCCCTTTTTATTATTTTAAACAATAATACTTAGGCTACTCAATTGCTTTGCCCACACATGTAGGTGTTTTTTTTTGGGGGGGGGGTCTAAATAACCCACAGCCAGTTAAATTTTCACACACAAGGAAAATAAAGTAAGGATAGAAAAGTAAGCTTGTAATTGGCCTGAGGGTGGTGCCAAAGTAAAGGTCATTGAAACCATTTGAATTAATCTTCTTGCGGACCACACAAATCCACAGCAACTTTCGGGGATGGATTTCTGTTTTTTTTATATCTTGCCAAGAACCAAAGTGTGAACTTGCCATCCTCCTTGTGAAGCATAATACATTGGGATGAGTGGACTGAGTCGTGGTGGCAGTTACCTGTGAACTATTTAAAAACGTATTTTAAGGCGGAACCGCTGAGGAAAAAGGGAGGGCCCTTCTGTCACGCTTCCTGCCGTGTTGTGTGATTGCAGTTCACCTGGTGATGCCTCCTCCTCCTCCTCATCCTCCTCCTCCCTGTGCGCTCTCCTCGTCTCCTCCAGCAGCAGCTCCTGCAGCGTCCGCAGCCTCTCTGGAAACGCCTCACCGCTATTATTATAAGCTTTTACCCTAAGAAATCTGCTGTTAACTGTCATTTAAATGACGTGTAGTTTTTCTGTGCATCACATGGATTGTGTGTGACTGTCCCATTCATGATTTCCGGATCGCGCGGATACAAGCTGCAGGTAGGAAGGAACCATTAAAAACAAACACTGATGAGCTGCTTGCGCCGGACGCGTAAAATTGTAGGCTTTGTGATCATTTAGGGGGAGAAAAATGATGCGCAACATTTTCCGTTCAGTTTGATTTGTACTTTACAGTTCCCTGATCTGTTAAAAGCATGGACTGTTTGAGAGTGTTGAAGCGTGATTAGCAGCCATTTACAAGCTTCATTTTATTCCTGATGCTCCGTTACTGTGGCATATGTGTTGTGAGGTTTGTGAATTGAAGCCTAATTTCCATGCACACGTGAAAGGGAGTTGGAAAAAGCAAGGAAACGGCATTGAACCTTAACTCTTAGGGGTTTTCTTTTTAACTTTATGACTGTGTTACGTTGCTAGATTACATGCATGTTCATATATGAATCAGTTCTGATCCCTAAAGCAGGATACAGTTAAATATCAGTGGTGGAAGAAGCCACTGTGTAGAAGTAGGTTATTCATTCAAACTGTATTCAAAAGTACAAAATTATTAGCTTCAAAATATATTTCAGTACCAAAGGCAGGCCTACTACTCAGTATGCAGAGAGGCTCATGTGTTTATCACTTTAATGTTGCAACTGGTAAAGATGGGGCTAACTTTATATCCTTTATATACTTATTTTAACTTTATATCCTTTATATACTTATTTTATATGATTTTGTATTAATCTAAATTTGTAAATTGGCTAGTTAGTTATCGAAAACATGTAGTGGAATTAAAAAGTACAAGATTTGCATGTGACTGTAGTGGAGTAGCAGAAAGTGAAAATACTCGAACGTACTGGCTGGCTAAATGTTATTTTGGTTATTTCCAACTCTGATATTGGAGGAAAAAAATCAGCTTTGGCACAAATTTCACACAAATACCTATAAGCTCTATGCACAGTGAATGACTGTTCAGGTCTCAAGCTATCAATCAATGATAAGAGAAATAGAGTGAGCTGCAACAAGGTAGAAAGGCTTATCTTTGGCACAAAATTGTGAATAAATAAAAGCAAAAGACATATATATCGGCATCCTTTATAGGGCATGTTGTTATTTAAACATTGTATTGGTATTGGCCCAGAATTTTCCAATCAGTGCATCCCTAGTAAATGTACTTATTACTGCAAATAGTGCAACAGGTGACCCAACAAAAGGCCGGATTGCTCTGCCTCTGATGTACTAAATAAATTCTCACTGGAGTAATCCCAGCTGCTGTGACATGAGACAGGATGAAGTGTTTCTAGGACTTCAGAAAACCCTTAAACTAAAGAGTGATAACCCAGAACATGCAGCATGATAACAGTTGTGTTCTTGCTTCTCAGGTCTCATCGCAGCTGTCACATCCCACTGGCCTGATGTGACCTACCACTGCCACCAAAAATTGACTAATGTGACCCCGGGAACCTCCTTGTTGGGCATCATGGGATGTGGCACCTCCGTAGCTACAGAGACACAGGGGAAAAGAGTGGAGACAGCTAATTATGGTACTATGCTTCTTTCAACCTGTCCAGGACTGCCTCATGTTTGTCCTGTCAGCAAGATAATGTTGACTTTTGGACCTGTCACCCCTGAGGAAAGGTGTGAACAAACACATCAGCATCAAATTAGAGCTGACATGTTCATACACCTGGTCAGTGGGTAGCACAAATAGACTGTTGAATACTAACTGGAGTGCAAGCTCAGAAATAACTTACAGGGAATTAGACTTTTAGGATAAATAGTAATAAGGGAACTCACGTTTCTGAGTCCTTAGACTTTCTTTTATTTCCAGATTTCACGAACCACATTTAAAGTCTACATACACTCAGACATCCCAGTTTTCAAACTCACAGTATAGATGCTCAAATATCTGTTGTCCTGTCTTCAGTCCAGATTAAAAACAACAGCTGGCACGGAATTGGTTAATCAGTTAGTCGATTGGTAAAATAAATCTGCAAATAGTCTGATATCAGTTTAAAAATGTCGAATATTTGCTGTTTGCAGCTTTTCAAATGTAAAGATTTGCTACTTTTCACTGTTTTATATAATTGTTCACTCTATATTTGGCTTTTGGACAAAATAACACATTTGGAGACAGACTGTGATTATAGTTGATTATAGCTTATTGACTAAATAATGAATCAATTAATTCAGAAAGTAATTGGCAGACTAATCGTTGATAAAAAATAATCATTAGTCGCAGCCCTATTAAAAGCCTAAAGATGACGGCAATCAGGTTGCCTAAATTTTGGATCTATCTACTAGTAAAGTAGACAACTGTCTGTGCTCTTTTAAGCAGATTTCTTATTGTCTTATCTTATCTCACTGTTTTTATTGTTTAAGTACCTGTCTTGCTCTCTTTTTATATTGTTGATCTCCTATGTGAAATATTTTGCCCCTTAAATAGTGTATTGTTAGTAGCAGTATTATGGTTTAGTATTTTATGCATCTCAGTGTCATACTGTGTACTACACACTGTGTAGTATGAATCTGATGGTAATTAATTTTGCAATAGTTTTTCTCAGACTTGTTGCACACACACACACACACACACACACACACACACACACACACACACACACACACACACACACACACCAGATGTTTGACAGATGGTGCTTTTTCTATCTTCACAGTCTGTCTTCTCTCCTCTCTTTAATGAGTGCTGTTTCTCCTGAAGGCTCTTTTTAATTTGCTTAGTTTTTCCAGTCCCACTGTTGCTCATGACCTCCCCTGTGTCTTGTTATCTCTCTTACTATGCATGTGAGTGTGTTGCCTTGCAAATGTTTTTTTCAATTACCAGTTTCTTATGCTAAATTGTAGTTTTTCTTCTCACAGATGACACTGTTAAAACTCCCAGCCCGGCTCTGAGTAAGACCCCGCTCATCTTCAAAGATCAGTCTGTGACATATGTGACGTGTGCATGCATCCGTGTGTTGTTTTTTTTAACCTAATGATGTTTTTTAGAGTGCTAATTTACTAAAGATCCAGTAGAAATAGCTTCAGCTTTTGGATCAGAATCTGTGCTTGAATTAGAGAAACGCAGATGTAAAGAATGTTTTAAAGAGTTCGGTCTAGACCTGCTATATTTGAAAAGTGTCCTGAGATAACTTCTGTTATGAATTGGCGCTATACAAATAAAATTGAAATTGAAATTGAAAGAAATATTCCTGTCACTTTGTAATGGAATTGAAAGGTTGCATGCTTTGATAGAGTCTAACACGTTATATTCATGTACTGTATGTATGTGACTATATTTAAACATGTCTCCCATCTAAATAAAACATAACAGCTGGTGTTTCTTCATAGCTATGAAGGCAGCTGTTTTGATCCAGCGATGGTACCGCCGCTACATGGCCCGTCTGGAGATGAGGCGCAGGTACACCTGGAACATCTTTCAGTCCATTGAATACGCCGGAGAACAGGACCAGCTACAGGTGACTCTTAGCACAGGCTTCTCAGTAAAAACTCAAGTACACCTTTATGCTCATTTTCAGAACTATCATAAAGCTTAAATTTGTTTTGTTTTTTATTTCTACAGCTCTCCAGTTTCTTTAGTTTCATGCTCGACAACTTCACTCAGTTGAATGGAAATGGGCCAGGTTAGTAGCCAAGGTACTCTTATTAAGATTAGATAGTATAATCTGTATTGATAACCCATCCTTCTTATTTGGAAATGTTTTAGAGGTAAATTTAATTTTATTTCAGAGTAAAATGACTTTTTAACAGTGCTGCCATATGGATGTGATGTAACACAGACCTTCAGGTCTGCCTGTGTCTCAGACTGGACCAATTTGCCCTTTATTTGTTTGTTTTATAGTTTAAACATATTATTTTATGTTTATGTGATTTTCTATGATTAAAGAAGGATATTGTCAACTATTAGTTAGATAAAGACAGAGAGAGATTTAATTATTACTTTTAATAACACAGTAATTTCATCCAGTGTATAAGTTCAGTTGGTGTTCAATGGTTGTTGTTTTGAACGTGTCCTAACACAGGAGGATAAGATGCGTTTTTCACCTCCGTCAAATTAACACCAGTTTGTTAGTCATGCCACTGTATTTTGGTCTAGATTAGAAAACCCATTGCGTATACCCTGTTGCTTAGCAACTACTGTGAATGTGGAGGCCAATGTGTTGGTGTGTTGCACTGACACAGCTGTGGCTTAAGTATGTATTGACCCACTCATCCAGCTAAAAAGCATAAAGCTCCATTGACAAGCTAATCCTTAGGTCAGGCCTTATTGCTGAACATCTACAGTACATCCTCTTCATGGGTTTTACATTGAGTCAACATGAGTGATGCAAAGAGGCCAGACTCTGTTGTCTGTATTTATTACAGACAGCATATGTGTTTGTTTGTGTGTGTGTGTGAGAAAGAATAGAGGACATTTAATACACACTAAGGGGGAAATGGACAAAGGAGAAATAGGCCTGTAGGTAGATGTCTGTTCATGTCCTGTTTGTTTGCATAAATTGGAGACCATCAGTTTTCATTAGCATATTAGAGTGGTCTTTTAACACAACAGTGAGGTCACACAGAGCTGGATGTGGCGCTGTGTCAAACTGTTTATTACAAGGAACTTAATATTGAAATCTGAACATGATTGATTAATTTTTCCCTAAACTAAATATTTATTTCATCCACTTTACTTACAGACACAATCGGATTGCTGTTAATTGCCTTTTTACAATGGAGGATAAACCACAGCAGAACCACAAATATCATCTTTTTTGTTTCTTCTTCCTGGTCAAAATCTGGCACCTTTATTACCCACACAATGCGACTCCAAGCGGCCTGACATTTGGGTGCGTTATGCTAGTAGTGGCTAATGTAGCAGAGGTTTAGCCTATGCTCACTTTTTTCTAACTCCACAGGTCCAGATTTTCTATCTATATTCAGCCCCAACCAGCACTGACTCAAGTGACATCACTCAAGGCAACTTATCAGAGCCACAAAAGGGTTTAAGTTTTTTCACAAATGCCATAGTGTTCCCAAAGACTTCTATACAGACATGGGTATATAAAATCTGTGTTCTTCATAGGTCTTCATCAGGCCTGACAAAGATCCATGAGGGATCAGAGCATTGTCTGGGGAACATAAAACACAAATTGTTTCTCTCTGTGCTGGTTATACTTGAACCATCAGTGTTGGGTGATAACTGTATACTGTGATGTCAGTTTGTCTACCATCAGATATTTTTCTGTATGGTTTATTCCATGATATCTACACATCCAGTATCCCTGGTTTTAGACCATTGCGGTTACTGTTGCAGATAAAGAGCAGGCCTGTTTTATGGCAATACTGGATTACCTGAATATCTTGATTTGTCAGGTATTCAGTTTGCTGGTTTAGCTGAAAACAGACATTCCTGTCTATCAGTAGTGTTACATAACATTACAAATACTGTGGGCAGATTTTATTGACATTGCCTACTTTTAGCTGTACACCTTTCACACACTGTGCTTTGAACAAAGAAGAAGTTTGTTTGCAGACCGCTAACTTTCATTTCAATCAAATGTAAAAAACATCAGTGAGAATAGGTCTTGAGCTCAGAATGTAACACACCTCACACTGTGTCCTCCAGACTTGATCTCCCAGCTGCTGGACCCGGTGGTTGACCCCTGGTTAGACAAAGAGACCTGCTACAACTTGATCGCTGTTCCAGAGTCGTACACAGGGCCCCGACTATCATTTCCTCTCTCCGTCTCTGATACAAACACTCTCCTCGGTGCATTTAAGGAGCAGCAGGTACAGAATATGGGTGTTTTGGTCTTTCTCACTCTTACTTTTGATTGTCTGCTTTAGAGGTTTGGGTGCTTATTTGGATCTCATTACATTTCGTCCACACAGACCCTACATGCCAGATATGTTCTGCAGCTGCTGTATGAGACCAAAAAGCTCCTCAAACAGATGCCAAACATCATCCACTTGTCAACATCCTACACAAAAGAGATCACTATATGTGGTAGGTGACCATAACCTCAGTTTCACTTGTTAATTAAAGGTTCATATTTTGGTACACGTGTGCAAAGGAGAACAAAAGAGTGTCTCATCATAATGTTGTGCTGCTGTAATGCAGTTGTTTGTGCACCTGCTCCATTGCAAAGTACAGTGGGCCAGTGAATAAATGAATGATCTGCTTAGTGGCTAAATAATCACTGATGTGATTTAAATACAGTTGACTGTATCTTAATGGCAGCGTTCCAAGAAAGGAGGTCTTGTTTATTTGCACACTGATCAGGCACTTGACTCCTCTTCCATGGCTGCCTCCTCCTGCAGCTTCGCATCTCATTAAACTCAAGAATACTTGTGAATAAAACCAAAAACACACACTGTTTGGTGATTGAAGTGGAGCAATTCACTGTCCTGTTTTCATACCATTAAGGAATTGTAGTAATTCAGGTATTGATTAACCCAGAACTAGGATTCCAATTTCTTCATTGCTGTGATTTTCCTTTTTGTACAGGTGATCTGCATGGGCGACTTGATGACTTACTTCTCATATTTTATAAGGTAAAGCTATATTTCTATACAATAATTTTAATCATTCACTACCTGTTACACAGCAAAATGTAAATAACTAATGTTCTTGACGGTCAAAGCCACATCAAACATGGCTGAAGCATGCACTTAAGAGGACGTTTGTGTTGTGTTGATTTTACGCCATGTTGCTGTTGTTCAGAATGGCCTTCCCTCTGCGGAGACTCCGTATGTGTTTAATGGGGACTTTGTGGACCGTGGGAAAAAGTCAGTCGAAGTGGTCATGCTTCTGTTCGCCTACCTTCTGCTATACCCCGACTACATGCACCTGAACCGAGGGAACCATGAAGACCACATAATGAACCTCAGGTGGGTGAAGAGTAGAAATGAAAGAAAACATTCACCATTCTAGGTTTAATACAAACAGGAGAGTAGTCAAATATCCCACTGTGATGTTTTTACATTGCTGTTTCAGATATGGGTTCACAAAAGAAGTCATGCTGAAGTACAAGGTACAGTACACTCCAGACACATGTCATTATTCTGCTTTTATTATGTACAGAACCCAGCTGCTCATTCTGCAGATTGTAGCATGTGATTGCTGACCGGATTAAATTTGGCTCAATGGCCCACAGTTGTAAAATGTAATTCTTTCTTTACTGTGTGTAACTGGGTGCAGACTCATGGCCGTGAGATCCTCCAGCTGTTTCAGGACGTTTTCAGCCTTCTGCCCGTCGCAACAGTCATTGACGGGAAGATCCTGATCGTTCACGGAGGGATATCAGACCAGACTGACCTGGACTTCCTCAGCACCATAGAGAGGCATAAGGTCAGTGGAAGCAAGCAGTCTTTTACTGCCTTTAATCAATAGAGCATACAGCTGAAGAATGACAGGAAAAGGGGGAGAGAGAGAGAGAGAGAGGGGATAACACGCCTGCAGCAAGGACCCAGCCTTGGTACATGGGGCACAAGTTCTACCAGGTCAGCTATCAGCATGCCCCACCTGGATGAATTTCAATTGCAATAATCGGTTTTGCCACTAGAGGTCAACAAAACATGCAAAAAAATTCACATGCACCTTACATCTCTGTTATGGCTAACATGTGAGCAAATTGTTGCCATTTTCATATCCAGGAGGTAGAGAGCAGCAAGAGCATTTGGAGGCATGTTTCTCTCCAGGTCGTTGTGGTCTCCACAAACTCCTGAGCAAAGTATGTGGGTTATTAGCTTCCTAAAAGTTAGACTTTATTCAGCAGACTCTTAGTAACTTTGTTTGTCTGGTGCAAGGCTGGATTAACAGGCAGCCTTACTGTGTGCTAACTTGTTTGTGTTCAAATTAAATGGGAATTGTGCACCTCAAACCTCAATATAAACTAACATCATAAGGGACTCAAGCTGAATCCTGCTTTGTTTCAAAATCAAATTTTCATATCAGTTTTGTGCTTACATGGTGTATATATCTAAATGAACTTGCATTTGATCAAATTGATTGACTTGGCTTCTGCTTGATTTAAAAAAAAAAAAATACCCAACCTGAACCAGTGATGTGCCTTAAGGTTGCTGTAACAACACTATAGATTAATAAAGTCTGACTGACTAGATAATCACACAGCAAACCTGGGGCCAGGTTTTATTCCAGCATAGAAACACTGTACATAATGCACAGAAATTGGGAGGAACAGGCAGTTAATAGAGGCCCAGCAGCTAATTTTTGCTCTTGAAACCTGTAGCAGTTTGTTTTGGCCCTGCGCTGTTTGGTGCTGGCCTGGTATCATACACTGGGTTTCTCAGAGCTTTTATGCTGATGTAAGTGGCTCAGATTGAAGTACCGTACAATTTGTAGTCATAAAGCAAAACAAAACACAAAGGGTTTAAAGAGATGCAAAGTTGAGTGATTTTTCTGTCCATTACAGTCATTTGATCTAATGTTAATATCCAAAATATTAATTCATGCAGGTTTTAAGAAACAGGCCAAAAACCTTTGGTGCTTTTAAACAACGTTCAATGCTGTAAATAACACATCTTTCTATTGTTGGTGCGTGTTTTTTAATCTTTTAATCTAATTGAATGCACATGTTTTCATTAAATTATTAAAAGTATTCCTGGGAAATGCAGCAAATTGCTACCTGAAAAAGAGGAGGACATGAGTTCTTCAAAATGTACAATTACTTGTCACAAAGTAACTCCTGGAATGCAATTTCTTTAGTTAAAATATGTCTTTAAGTTGCATTTTTGGTGTTCGTTCTGAGGTTGTGTATACAGTAAACTCAGTAGTCTGTTTTGATTTATATAACCGAAAATCACAGATCACTAATTTGTCTCAGAGGAATCTGTACAACATACTGTACGTTACTGTCAATCCTTAGGCACTCTACATACATTTGACAAACAAATACCTTTGTTTTCACTTTATGTCTGTCTTTCCTTCTCTCCGCTCATCTAGGTCAAATCTGCCCTGAGGTTTCCCAAACGCAGTTTGGAGCAGCTGGACATCAGTCAGTCCTGCAGACAGATGAAAAGAATGAGATCAACAGACTGCTCTCGTCCCAGTAGCAGTCGCAGCCACAGCAAGAACCAAAAAACCCAGAACCAGAGGTCAGACAGCAGCCCACAAATGCTTACAGATGTTGCATGTTTTTTTTGTTAAGGTTGTTTAAAGAAACTCTCTTCTACCCCTTAATTCTGAAGAAAGAGACGATGCAGGCTCAGCCGTCAAGACAGCGCTGCCTCCACTTCTTCCTCCTCCTCCTCATCATCTTCGTCCGCATCTTCGCTCTGCTCTCCTCGAACTCCGTCCTGCCTCACGCCTCGCCCGTGCCCGTCTTCTCCCAGCATGCCCTACACTGTCAGTGTCCTCCAAGTGCCTTTCTTGGACTCTCTGTCCTCAGTCCCCCCTCCTTCACCTCCACAGCATGAACGGGAATGGAAACAGGTCAGAGGAGTGGATTCTGTGGAAAAGAAATGTTGTTCAACTCTGCCCCTTTGTCATGTGATGGGCACTTTTAACTGCTTTCTTCTCTCCTGCAGATAGTGGATATATTGTGGAGTGACCCTAAAACCCAAGAAGGCTGCAGTGCCAACACATTCAGAGGAGGAGGCTGCTACTTCGGCCCTGACATCACCCAGAGACTGCTGCTGCAACACGGACTCCAGCTGCTCATCAGATCCCATGAGTGCAAACAGGAAGGATATGAGCTCTGTCATGGCGGACAGGTAGACTGGATGCAATAAATGAATTCAAATTGTCAAAAAGTCGAACTGTTTGAATCTGGAGAAGTAAATGTGTGCATCTTGTTCAAAAGGTGATCACCATTTTCTCAGCGTCAAACTATTATGAGGAGGGGAGCAACCGTGGTGCGTACATCAAAGTGGGCAGAGAACTGGTTCCACGCTTCTACCAGTACCAAGTCAGCCGCACAACGCGCAAACTCACCCTGACACAGAGGTACAACAGGTGTCTGTGTGTGCATGTTTGTGTGAAACAAATTCAAAGAAGAGTAAATGCCAATCATTTTGACATTCAATTAATAGTTTATGTAATTTATCAACTGGTTCCAGCCTCTCCAATGTCAAGATTTTCTGCATTTGTCTGTTTTTAAATAAAAAAATAACATTTTAAATAGATAGCTCAGCCTTAATGAATGACCCGTGTGTGTGTGTGTGTGTGTGTGTGTGTGTGTGTGTGTGTGTGTGTGTGTGTGTGTGTGTGTGTGTGTGTGTGTGTGTGTGGCGGCGCAGAGTACGAGCTGCTGAAGGCTCTGCTCTCAGGGCCCTGAAGGAGAAGCTGTTCACCCATCGCTCTGAGCTTATGTCAGGCTTCCAGCAGTACGACCAAAATAACACAGGTGTTCTCTCCTCGGTCCATTTGCCTCACTTAAAACATCTATTTACCAGGTTGACATTTATAGTTGTTATGAAAGAATATATTTTTTTTCAGGTTGTGTGTCAGTAAGTGAATGGGCTCAGGTGTTGGAGTCTGTACTGAGGCTGGATCTGCCCTGGAGGACACTGCGTCCACACTTAGCCTGTCTGGCACCTGACGGCAGTGTGGAGTATCAGTCCTGCTTCGAGGATATGGAACCAGGGATTCCTCTGTCTCAGGTCAGAGAAATGAAGTTGTCTCTTTAAGCAAATCAAAGCAATCAAGTACATTTACGTACTGTCCCTTTTTAAAGGCTTTTTTAAGATCCCCATATCTTACTGTAGTATTTTAACTTTATACTTTGAAATGTTGTACCTTTTACTCCAGCACATTTACTTGTGTTTTCGTTACCTTAGAATGAGAGGTTTTTATCTACAGAGGTAGAGGGTCCTCTTGTTTCTACCATAGCCATCCTAGTTTCTCCTACACTCTTGGAAGGGGTGGATGAAGTGGTTGCAATCTGCAACTTCACCACTAGATGCTACTAAATCCTACACACTGGTCCTTTAAGTCTTATAAAGTGAAAGGGGTTGAAGTATTTTCTTAAGCATGTGATCATGCATGCAAAATGAATACCTCCAAAAGGGGAGACTTGAGGATTTTTACCTGACAGCAACAGTTGTTTAAACTCCCTATATCCAGGAATCCACAAACAAATAGTGGGAAAAAGTATCCTATACGGGTCTGTAATAACACAAACAAAAATAAAAGGGAGCATTTGATAATGCTTTATTGAAACAAATTTACATTTTAAACACAATTCTTCACAATGCATACTTTTGAACTGAGTACATTTTACTGCTTTTACTTGCAAAAAAGACATTTTCCCTTATACTTTTAGGATTATAATACTCATCATACCACTGCTGCTAATAAACACAGTTAATAGTTGTTTAGTAGTCTAGTGTTGTGACAATTTCTTTTCTTCTTTTCTCCTTTCAGGTCACTCCAAACTTGGCTGAAACTCTCTTCAGATACAGGACCGACATTGGAATAATATTCAACATCATAGACAAAGACCATTCAGGTAAAAAAAAAAGTATTGAATCACTTTGAAGAGGATGTGTTAATAATTCAAAAGGTATTCCTTAAAGTTCAGTAACATGGTTGTATGTGTGTTGTCACATTCAGGTCTGATCTCCATCGAGGAGTTTCGTCACACCTGGCGTCTCTTCAGTGCCCATCTGGGGGTTGACATCGACGACAGAGCCATCGATGACTTGGCTCGAAGTATTGACTTCAACAAGGATGGCAGTATAGACTTCACTGAGTTCCTAGAGGCCTTCAGAGTGGTACACAAATTGGACAACAAAGATCAGCAACTCAATGGAAAGATGGATGGAAAGTTTTCCTGAAGTGAAGAATCTGTTTCTAAGAAAGTCCTGCATTATCAGCAGAGAAACTAATGGAGGAGGGAAAGTAGGAATGCAGGCATAAGATTAAATGATTTAGTATTTTTTAAGTTGTTTAAGGAAAAATCAACCTTTAAACACGCAAACGCTAAAGAATAGCAGTGATAGCGTCGTTTGTTGGTGTATTTCTAGCCACACGTGGCTCTAGGAGATGGTAGAGTCAACGTGTAGGTTGCTTTCATCCACTACTTTGGTTTCAAAGTGAAATATCTCGACAACCATTGGATGGATCGCCATGAAATGTTTTACATACATTCATGTTCCTCAGAGGAAAAATCCTTCAGACTCTGGTGATCCACTGACCTTTCTTCTAGCACCACCAGCCAAAGTTTATAGTTCAGTGAAATGTGTCAACATTAACTAGATGGATTTGCATATGTTTTGGTACAGACATTTGTGGTTCCCAGATGATGAATCCTAATGACTTTGCTGATTAGCACCACCAACAGGCTGACGTGTTTGAGCGTTTCAATGGGAAATGGCTTTTAGGAATGTTGAATGTGTGGGTTCAGTGTCTGGCATAAGGACACTTCAGTATGTGGACTGGAGAAGCTGGGAATCGAACTGACCAGCTCTTTGATTAGTCAACGACAACTTCACTTGCTGAGCCACAGTCACCCCATGTTGGCAAAAGATAGACGTCTTGGGTGTAAAAGTGCACAGGAAAGTGATCAGGAACCCACACAAGCCTTGAACAAGTACAGAAAACATTTATTGAAAAACTGAAGCAGGTTCTTGGGCTGCGTATTTTATCTACAGTTTGATTTAGTACAGATGTCACCTCTGACAGCAGTTGCAGATTTGTGAGAAACATAGTGTACAACAGATGCAGTAGGAGTAACAGTGTGATGCAGCACTGTTACTTACAAGTCAGTACTATAGTATTATTACGTGGACTGAAGTACTGATGACTGAAGGCTTCAGGTGTGTGTTGAACTGTTTACCAAAAAGGAATAAAATGGCATTTTTGAAACCTTAATTGTTGTATTTTGCGTATATATTTTAGTGTTTTGTGTGCGTATGTGTGTGTGTTTGTATGCTACTTCACTGCCCACTATAATTACCAAACGGTGAGAGCAGTGAAACAGGCCCAGGCATCCTGTCAGCCAGAGTAAATGATGGGTTCAGATTTTACTGAAGGCGTCCACATGTGCAACACACACACACACACACACACACACACACACACACACACACTTGCAAGAGTCCAGGGTGAGAGACAGGGAGGCGTGGAGACCAATAATTTTTACAATGATTGTTTTAGTAGCAGCAGGGTTCTTGGATGTTTCCCTGTTTTTTTGTCAAAACTGTATATCTGATATATCACTTTATATATTAAAACAAGTAAAACTGTTACTACTTACTTACTATAAAGCAGGTAAAAAAAAACATCTCTCCAGATAACTCACTATCCATCTGTCAGAGTGTTTTGCGTATGCACCATCTTACCCCTCCTTCCTCTCTTCCTTCCTCCCATTATCCTGTAGCAATCCAAATCTCTCCTCCCTCAATCTTCAACCTCTCGTATACCTCCCACTTTCACTCTCCAAGTACTTCTTTTCTCGTCCCTTCCTGTCCTCTCCCAAATCTTAACAGAGGTATCTCCGCTAGTGTCATCCTGAACACACACTCAGATGGGGCACCTGGCAGCACTGGTCATCCTGCTCTGCATCTACACCCAAGGTACGTCTTAAAATTAATTTTCATACCTCTATGCTGTGTAAGTGAAGAAGTGTTTGCAGGCAACCGCAGGTATTTATTGTGAAACTGTCTACAGTGTGTGGAGCTGAGGGATGCAGTGGTTTTAGACACTTGGAGAACGGGCAGACGTTTTTCCGTTACGGAGGACTGCTGGTGATCTTCCGCTGTCATCGTGGCTACAAGCTCCATGGATACAAAACCAACAGCTGTGTGTCTGGACACTGGTCCCGGGACACCCCAGTCTGTGTTGGTGAGGAGCTTTATTCACAAACATATCTGTAAACCTCTTTATTTTAGGATTTTAAATTCAGTTTTTGTCAGTAGATGCCTTTAGAGGATAATCGCAACTCATTTGTTCAGATATTTATTTCTGCTTCTATCACAATGCACAGTGCAGAACTGACAGGAAGGTGAAGGGAGGGAGCAACAAAGGCAGCAAAAGTCCTTTGTCAGACTTAAACTTTTTATCACTTTCCATGATATCTGCCCATTTTTCAGGCTCTGGCTGCTCCAACCCAGGGCTACTCACCCACGGGACAAGCAGCATTAATAAGGATGGCTCCTGGGCAGTATTCAGCTGTAATAGTGGCTTTAAGCTACATGGGCCCTCAATGTTGTACTGTAAGGGTCACGGCTGGAACAGCACAAAGCCTGTATGCAAAGGTGAGCATGCAGAACTCTCTGCTATCAAAGTGATTGTTCAAAATTTTTGTTTTTTCTTTCTCGCAGAGAAGATCAATACACTGTCAAACGTAGAAGGCTTTTGTCGAACAATTTCTTTAAATTTGATCCTGTAATAGCAATTGTCTTTATTTGACATAGCCATGTTTGAAAGTTGCTGTACAAATAGTCTTTTCACCATTTTATCTTCCTCTTTACTCCTTCGTAGAGGCTGACATGATGATGAGTTTGGTTTCCCGTGTCAATGTGCCAAAGCCAAGCATACGCCAGAACCTCCAATCTGCCATGGTTCTGAAGAGCCAGCAACAATCCCACTATGACATACTCGCTAATACCGCCTCCAAAGCAGAAAACCTCAAATTTGGGTTGCTGTCTCATACCCCATCCCAAATGTCCAGCAGTGAGAGGATCAAAGTGACTAACCCTAAAGTCCACCTGCAGCATCAGTCTTCCAGTTTTAAAGTCAAAGATGGAGGCCAAACAACTCATCATGAGGCTCAACCTCAGGAGGCAAATGAAGCTGAAGGTTCAGAAATAGGAACTGGGAGGGATGGATCAGAGGTGAAAGCTTCACGCGAAGATCTCTCTACTCCTGTCTCATCTACCTTATCATTAGTGTCAGGAACGGAGCAATCAACATCTTCACCGCCGCCATTTGCAACAGCCAATACCACTGCTAGCAGTGCTGTCAAGAATACTGCTGTCAAGTTTACTGTGATGTTTGCACCAACTTCACCACTTCACACAAAATCTCCTCTGCCTGTATTTGACAGTGAAAAGGCACTCACATTTGGAGAACCTGTCACACCCCAGGATGATGCCACTCCCTCTGAAGTTGTAACAAGCTCCTCAGAAACTAAAGATGAAGACCGACAGGCTGAAACTGGCTTCCAGCATTCTTCTTTGGCTCAGCCTGGGTCTGTAGATGAAGAGGAGCCCACAGAGACGTCAACACACACTGCTTCCTCTGCACTCTCCTTATCAACATCCTTTCCCTCCATCTCTGCATCAATTTCCTCAAGTTCCAGCTCCACCCAGTCCAAAATGAAAACACAGCTGTTTAATGTCACCCTTCTTTCAAACACCTCCACCACCACTGAACCCAGATCTCACTGGACCGAATACCCCAACCTCACGATGAACGCCACCTCCAAACCACCTCTGCTGTCTCTGAGCCTCATCAGACGACCTGTGTGCCCTTACCCACCGGTGCCGACTCATGGGACATTCTACTTTCGTAATGTAGAGAATCCAGGTCCCAGAGAGTACAAGCATTTCATACAGTATGCCTGCTACCCAGGTTATACACTGGCTCATGGAGATGTATACAGCTACTGCCAGCAGGGGGGGACCTGGAGCGGGATCACACCTGTTTGTCTTGGTAGGTCATGTTACTGTTCCATAATTTAAAAGATTATTTGATTCATGCTGGAGTCATTCTCACTGATAAGGGATAATAAAGGAAAGACATGCTGATATGTAAAGAAAATGGGAGGCAAGATTGATTTGCCAATATATTGCCCAGTTCTAGTCTTTTATTGTTTTATTGATGAAAGATAACATCCTACAGACGCACTGGGACGCATCGTCAGTGATGGAAGCTGAAAATAGGTAATGTTTGGCATTAATGCTTAAAAATAGTCCAGTTGAGTCACATCCAGTGTCAGTCTGCCCTTTCAGTCCGGCAGCTTCAAGTCATTCGTCTGTTTTAAAGATTAATTACTTGAGTTCTTCTGCTATACAGATCATCACTTCTTGATAAGGTACAGCCTCTTCTGTTGTTACAGATTCCAACTGTATCGTCTCCAGTCGGAAACCTCTCTCTAATAATGTTCACCATCTAAAAAATGCCCTCAAAGTCAGCTCATATAAATGTTCAGATTAATTTTGCTCATTGTAACTGTCATCGCCCTTGAACTAGTAATTACTGCTGAAGTGATCCATCCTTACTGTTTGTCTCCAGAGTTGACACCATGTTCAGTTAACAACGGAGGATGTTCCCAGCTGTGCTCTCACTCCCAGCACTACAACCAGAGCTCCAACCAGACCCAGAGCAGAACTCAGTGCAACTGCAGACCTGGATTCACTCTGCTGGATGACGGGCGAACGTGCCGAGGTGAGCATATTAATGTTTTTTATTTCTTTCCCCAGAGCTTTCACTGTGACTGTTACATTCTTCGCAAATCCTCTGTGGACGCCCTGGGCTCTTCCTAATAACAACACAGAGCGCACTGAGGCATGTTACAGCACAACAGGGAATGTTCTTCACATGTTTTATGTGTTTGATGTTTCACGGCTCACAGACAAGCATAGGTGAGCTGTGAAATTTATGGCAGCACAATGACCTTGTAGCACTTAGAAGGCTGACATTGACTTTATAGATTGTCTCAAGTTCCTGCTCACAGACAACCCATCATTTGTGAGGGCAATCAGTGGATGGTGTTGATACTATTTTTGAACAGTGTTATTATCAGTGTGCACTTTGACAGATAGTCACAATCACAGTGACTGATTATAGTTTAGTTTTAGTCTGAAAATTCCACTGCAATGAAATAAGGCTTAGAAAACATTCCTGTCTGACAGACAATTCAGTAACAAAAAAATAATCATTTAATTTAGTCGTCATTTCAAAAGATGTCGTTCTTTTTGGATTAGACTTTGTCCAGATGGTTTTCTTTATGTTGAGATGTGTCAGAAAATGGAAATACCATTAACACAGGTTGGGGAAATGGTGTTTTCCTAGATGGCAGGAAAAACAGGGCAGAGCTGATACACAAGTTTACTGAGTCCTTTCTGCACATCCTTGTTTCCTGTCTCTGAAGAACAGGAAGTCAGAAAACATCTGCGTTATGGTTTGCTCATTACAGGCCAAAACAGCAAGCAAAACATGGAGACACATCAATGAGGTTTCAGATTCTAACTTGATTCGGGGCAGCAGGGGAGGTGACCACCTTTCATGTACACAAGAAGAGTGTGTTTTATTAAGTCTGTGTCTGTTCCAAACAGTGCAAGATATATGTTTATGTCATGTTATTTGTCTGTAATAATTATTGTTTGCATGTGTGTAGATTTAGAGGAGTGTGTGGAGGGGCAGCATCAGTGTCAACAGAGATGTGTCAACACATTTGGTTCCTTTAAGTGCAGCTGTGATGAAGGCTATCAACCATCTCATGACCAGACCTCCTGCGTAGGTGTGTGTGTGTGTGTGTGTGTGTGTGTGTGTGTGTGTGTGTGTGTGTGTGTGTGTGTGTGTGTGGCTGTGTGTATTTATACATTTGTGTCTGTTCATGTCATTTACATCTATGAAGTATTTTTCTACATCTCTCCATCTTTCCAGATGTGGATGAGTGTCTGCTCCCTGCAGCTGTAACACGCTGCCTGTTTGGTTGTGTTAACACTCCTGGGAGCTTCCACTGCCAGTGTCCTCCCGGCTACAGCCTTCCGTCTGCAGACAGCCACTGCCAAGGTAAGGAGACACTCACTAAACATTACTTCGAAACATGTCTTGCTCTATTTACCATACTAGCTGCATGGCTTTAGGGATGGTTAAGTTTGGTTCAGGTGGTTTACCACTTTGATGCAGACTGAAATATCTCAACATCTCTCGGATGGATTGCTATGAAATGTGGTACACACATTTATGTGCCCCCCACAATAAATTGTAATTACTTTGGTGATCCCCCGACTTTTCATCTAGTGCCATTATCAGGTTATAATTTCAATTTGTCCAATACAATAATATTTTTAATTCAAATAGAATACAGTTTCTGAAAAATCAACACCAAGCATTGCCAGCACTAAGAAAATATGTTTTCTATTAGTGCAACTTTGTTCCCGGGCCATTGCACTTTTGATACTATGACAATAAATTAGAAAAGGTGTAGACTTTGTTGTCATCTTCTCCTAAACTTCTCCTTTTCTTATGCAGATATAGATGAGTGTGCTGTTAATCAGGGGCTTGGGCCATGTATGCAGCAGTGCAACAACTCACCAGGATCCTACCGATGCTCCTGCACGTATGGGCACATCTTAGCTGGAAACGGACACAGTTGCATCACTGAGTGTCCGCCTGGGTACATGAAGCAATCCACAACACCTGAGAACTCAACTGCACAAGCTCTTAAGGAGGAGTGTGTAGGTAGGAAAAAAATCTATTCTATAGATATTCCCAACAGCTGTCAAAAGTCTGAGCTTCCATGTGTCTACACACAGATATAAATGAGTGCCAGGAGGAAATGTGTGCGTGGCAGTGTATTAACCTGCCAGGCTCTCACCGCTGCATCTGCCCCAGAGGATACACACTGGAAAGAGATGGGCGACGTTGCAAAGGTCAGTGGGGTCATGCTCACACATATCTGTAACAGTACCGTGTATGGTACATGTAAGACACTTTAACATTAGTGTGTCTGTGAAGATGCATTATGACAATAGCTCAACAATAACAGACAGAAACTATATTCTTTAAACAGATATTGTTCATTTATGTATTATCATCCATGTGTTATGTGAATTTGGTAATTTATTAATGGCCCAATCAATCAGGTTCATGTAAAGGAGTATTTCAACTTTTTTGCTGAGAATTAGATGAGAAGATTGATACTATCATAAATCTGTTCCCCATTATGAATCTATAATCAGCAAGCTTATGGACTAGAAATGGGGGGGAAACAGATAGCTTGGAGTCTTGTCGTCACTGTGCTTTTAGGCTAAAGTCCCTTAATCTTTGCTGCTGTCGTAGTAGTAGCAAGAGTTCATATAGAGTTCAAATGTGAATATTCACTATAATGCTACAGTGATAATTAATTACCCTCCCTCTCCTCTAGACATTAATGAGTGCAGTCGGAAGAATGGAGGGTGTTCGCACCTGTGTGTGAACCAAAAAGGTGGGCATAAATGTGCCTGTCCACCCTCCCATCGCCTCTCCCCCTACAGCTGGAAGAAATGTCTACCGAGGACAACAGCGAACACTGCTGGCTGAGCTGAAAGTACCTCAAAATAAAAATGTAATTAAATCCAGCCCATACAGCAACAGCTGGAGCTCTGATTGCCTGGCTGTTGTGTGTTGCCATCAGAGCTGCGACTGCTGCTAGTATATAAAAGTATACGTGGCAAACAGAAAACAGATAAATGCAAGGTTATTATTGTTAGTCAAATTTTATTATTGTATGAATATAATTAGAAATGTACAATGTATGTAAATGTAATGTAATAAACATATTATTCTGATGGAAATGAGGGGAAACTGCATTGTCAAAATAATTGAACAGGCCCTTAAATATTAAATAGGTGACCTGCATATGTATGATGATAGTAAAATATATGATAATTATTTTTTTTAAATCTCTCTGTATTTATTTCTATCTTGTTTTGATATATATTTTAAGTATATGCTATATTTTAAGGGTTAGGGTTAGCAATAAAATAGATCAACATTTACTATGTTTCCTGCTGTTTTGCTTTCTGTGTTCTGCGCACAAAACCAAGTATTCAATAACGTTCTTCTTAGACTTACAAAGACCCTATTCAACTTATTCCAGACCTCTCTGCTACTTAACCAATATCTGGCTGTACTGCCATGTCTTTCTTTATATACACCATGCATATACTACATATATGCATATTGTTTAAATAAATAACATCTATTAAAGCAGAATTCCACCCCAACATACCAGAAATAAACTTATCTTTATAAATGAATAAACTTTAAATATGGTGAGATATATGAACAATGTTGGCTCACTGTATCAGTAGCAAAACCTTGGGGTTACACATTCGTATGCAGACAGATTAATTACTTTTCATTCAGTGTAAAAAACACACAACACATACACAAAGACAAAAACACCAAGAAAACTTTGATTCTTGTTCCGATACAGGTTCACAAAAATACAAGACTACACATTTCAACACTGAATTATAAAGAGCCTGGAAGCTATCAGAGGTAAAAATGTGTTAATGCTTATGCACAAATTAGTAATTTGTGGAGGGAGAAATAAAGTAATTTGAGGGTAAAAACTGTAAATTTATGATTTCTATTTTATTATATATCCCACATATTTAGGTCAGCCATTACAGTAGAACAATTAATTATTATATTAAAAAATGCAGATAAAACAAAGTACAAATTATTGACTTGAGGAAATATAATCATTTGTGTGCCAAAATGATCCAAATGTTAAATCTGATAACTGCTGGGCTCAGTATAATTATTACATATGACATATTGGATTACAAGACAGATAACTGTTGATATATTATTCTCACACACAACACCAAGAGCACAGAGGTGTGCTTATATTTTATGTAAATTTTAATTTCCATAAGTCCTGTAAGCATACATTTTAGCAGAATGTATAAGTAATAAATAAGTTCACAGTCCAGACTCAAAGAAAAAATTAATTCTTACATAGTGGTTTGCACTCAGCTGCCAAAGCTATGATGTTATATCAGTATATGAGAGCTACAGGGTTGACTGAAGAGTAAATACTTACAAGCACCACATGTATTTTATGAGCTGATAATGAGAAGCTTTGTTGCCTTTGGACAGTTGATCCTTTAGTGATTAAACACTTCTCAAGAACAGCAAGACAGTCTGCTTTTTTCACTGCATCAGGCAGCTGGAACTCGGAAGGAAGTCCTGGACGTATGTGATCGACGCCTTGGACAGGTAGGTCATGGTGCCATAGCTGCCACTGGGGGCGCTATCGTAGAAAAAGTTGCAAATTCCGGTTGCTGGGTCCTTCTCAAGGAAATAATCACTGGCACTGTGGGATATCTGTGGATGCAGAGGTAGAACAGATTGAACCCCGGTGAACATACATCAACATCCTTTGAAACAAAAATGTAACTATTGCCAGTAGCGGTACCTGGTCATTCAGGAAGAGATCGTTGGCCAAGTGCAAGATGCGGTCCACGTGGATAATGCCACCGATGCTGTCCACGTCCACGTCAGCTACGAGACCTAGAACCATGACGGTCTCTACTAAGAGCTGCCGGTACTCTGGTTGAGGGACGTGGTTCAGGACAGACTCTACCTGCACTGCAAACTTGATCTCTCCCTCTGTCATCTGCACAGAAAACACAGAATGAAACACTCACCCACAACCCTGCACACACACACGCACACACACACACGCGCACACACACACACACACACACACACACACACGAAGACCTGAATCCAACTTTAACAAGTCAGCTAGATGGTACCTCTCTTGTGGTAGAAGAGGGCAACACATATCCATCGATGGACAGGCCATGGCACTTCTGCAGGATCTTCCAGACCTTCTGGTAGAAACCCACGGGTACTCTGTTGATAGCTCCATCCAGCCTGCGTCTCCTCAGCCACTGGCCTTGCCTCTCCTCCCAGTGCAGCTGTCCATCTCCTGGACCAGTGCCCACTGGGGACAGGATCCCACTGGGAGTGGAGGGACTGCTGCAACGCTGTGTTGACATAACAACGAAGTAATTAAAACATATTTTAATTGATGAAACCATCTTCTGATTTTCAACCTTATCTCTATGTACTTCATTTATATGCACCATTACACTTGGCAGTAGAGTTTGTACCACACTGGCAGGTTTCAGAGCTTAAAAGAGTTCTCCACCCATTTAACACAGCATTCTTATAACTATATATTGAAATATGTACTGTAGTAGTCCTCTCTCTTTCAAACAAATATACATACAGAATTACATTTTTAACACTTACCTGCACTTACACAGTCCATGCAATCATTCATGCATATTGATATCATACTATATCACAGCAGGCATATTAAAGGACAAGTCTGATGTTATTGTATGTTTTAGTGTTTTAAATAGACAAATGACAACAATTTAATGTAGTTTCTGTGTAGCCACCGCCTGATAAAGCTTTCACAAATTTTTGCCACTGCTGCAATGGCTGACATATTATTATTATTATTATTTATTATGATAAACACACTCAGTGTGGTTTATTCCTCCATGGTCCAGTCAAGTCAATTAACAAATTTGCGTCAAAGGGAAACAAAACAAACCTTTAACCGGAAAGGAGAATAATACTTAGTAGGATACATTTATTGTTGGTTTCAGTCTCTGTAAGACATTTGTTGAAAAAAATAAAAAGATAAAATAACACCAGCCTTATCCTAAAATGCAGCAAGACACATGGAAGATTTTAGTGTCTACAGAAAATATGAAATCTGAGTGAAGGATGAGTTTGCTCAGTGTATACATACATTTTAACTACGGCAACCCTAGGAAGGACAAACAAAGTTCATTTGAAGCAGATGAGGTGAAATGGTTTACCGTGGAGCGAGGAGACGTGAAATTGCTACTCAAGGAAAGACCGCCGCTGAAGATCTACACATGGATATGGATGACAGACGACAGAGAACAGTTTGAGATGGTTCACATGGTTCTCCAAACTACAGTCATGATGATACTGCAGCCACACAGAGCATAATGTTACTGGAAATGTTTGATCTGTAAAGTGAAAAATCTAATGCAACTCTGGGAAAATCAACTAGTGACAAAAGATTCTTGGAAACTGACTGATCACAAGAAAGATCATTCAACAAACAAAGGATGCCTCTTCATGCCAAAATGCTATCACAAGAAGAGTTATGAGGGTGGGCTACTTAAAAGGAGCTTAATCAAGGTCTGGATTGGTTGAATAGTTCATGAAATTGTAGACAAGTTGTTTTAAAAAGTAATATTTGTTCTACAGTTACTGTGTGATACTCAGAGTAGCAAAGCATGTCTCCTACTGATATGTGATGATGTGAGAGTCGTTTCCAGTTATGGAGGGCTCACGAAATGTTAAGAGCCAGCGGGTGGTTCATGAGCAGGATTTAGCCGGCGGTTTGATTGTTTAGACCGAGGTTAGAAACAGTCACATGCTAGATATTATCAAACCCAACCCACACTGAGAGGCAGAGAGTCATCCAGCTGCAACCAAGAGCAAGAACACTGTTACTGTCACTGTTAGATAGATAGATAGATAGATAGATAGATAGATAGATAGATAGATAGATAGATAGATAGATAGATAGATAGATAGATAGAGCAAAGCATATGAAGCACATGCTACAGCATATTTACAGAAATAAACCCTGATTATTGTGCAGTTTATGATTTGTGCTTCCCACCTGTTTTATCTCACTCTTTAGCTTGTGTATTCCTGTGCGTTCAGTCTTGGTTGCTCCAGTGTGGCCCAGTTCATGGATAGAGATGGCAGGACTAGTGGCTGTTGACTGTATTGGACGCACTGATGAAAAGAAGAGAAAAACACTTATTCTACAGTTCAGTTCCAGTCCTCTGAACATCTCTGATGTTGGTAGTTGTTTGCTGGTGATGTGTGTATTGACAGGTCAAGCAGACCTAGGCGGGATCTTTAATGGTCATATTCCTGTGCCAGAGTCATAAAAAGGTGATAAATCAATCATGAGCGTGGATGAGATCAACGTGGCTGTACGGGGTTGTTAAAAAAACTAGTCAACAGCCATGCCAGAAGCTCTGTGCAGCAGTACTTTTAGTTCATGGCAATCGATCAAATAGTTGTCAGGATATTTCAGTTTGGACCAAACTGGAAAACTATTGTAGAGCTATGCTGCTACCATGGTGATAAATATTAGGTTAAGTGATCCTAGCAACAGCTACTGCAGTTATAGTGTCGAATGACAATGAAAGTGAAATAAAATGGTGATTAATTCTGACTACTTTGTTTTAATCTTTTATTATATTCTATTCCTAGTTCATAAATTTACCTAACTGCTTTCCTCCTCTTACAATTATTTCTCAGCTCTACTTTACTCTACTTCATTGTACAAAATGTCTTACTCAAAACTAAGGGTGCAACACACAACCATAAAAGAACATTCACATACTGTAAAGACAAGGAAGGGAAAAAACTCACTGCTCCTCTCCACCCCAAACTCTTTTCCACTGAGGATGTGATGCAGCAGGTTTTTCATGCCAAAAGGACTCAGGCTCATCAAACTCTCAGATGCCTCCTCTCCTACAAAGATGTTACGCAATTTTTTATTTTTACTGTGCAGGGTATTTTGTGTATGTTAATAGTTATGTTCTGTTTTCCCACCAGAACAGTGCAGGCTGCGAGCCAGCTCAGTGGCCATCACTTGCATGATGAGTCCTATCCTGAGCCGGAGCATGTCCCCAAACAAAGCAGGCTGGGAGCGCACGTACATGGCTAGATAGACCATGATTTCCTACATGACAAACACACATGAATAACAGCTGAAAGATTAGTGTCTGAACAGGGTTATGTGGCAGTCCAAAAGGTTAAAGGTTTACCTGAGTGAGAACAGCTATACTGATGTCCTGACCACTGGCTTCATAGATGAGATTGTTCAACTCCTCGGGAGGAAGAGGACTGAATGGAAACAGGGAGGAGGAAGAGAATTATGTGGCTATTAATTCAACAAAGCCTAAATATGAACACAAAATCTCGTCAACAATAACAACAACTTACACTGTGATGACTCTTTCCCTGGGCTCAGGAGGTAGACCTACTGTCAGCTGCTTGTGATGGGAAATCAGATCCGTGCAGGCCTTAGGAACACACAAATACACATGGAACGAAATTATTAAAAACATCACATCATTTATTGATTCTGTAGAGGAGAATCTGTCTGCCTTCCTCCTCCTGGGTCAACTACAGAAGTTATCATGGCTGAGTATGTGTTAGGATGCAGGTTTTGTGATGGCCAATAGGTGGTGGTAGAGCTCTTTGTTTTAAACAGGAAATATTTGTTGGAAGACGCCAAGAACATGGTTTGATGATTGAGTTTTTAAGCATGAATTGTATATCTTTGTTAAGTCACATACTATAAGGGTGGTTTAAATATGAATGTGTGTCAGTTTTATGTTTTGTCTGACAAGTGTTTTAGGTGGGGGAAGGAGCTTACTTCAGCATGAGAAAAATGAGAGAGAAGGGGAAACAATTTGCTTTGTGGAATAGCTTTTTATCTAAAAACATGACTCGAGCATATAAATATGGCGTGTCAAGCGTCAAAAGAAACAAAATTGTGGTAAACGTTAAACAAACTTCGGGCTTCAAAACATCTTCTGAAGGCCCTATGGGTCACAGACAAAGCATCACTTAAGGATCTTCAGAAGTCTTCTCATTTCACAGGAGCCGAGATCTGACCCAGGACCAGAGCTGGTCCAAATTATATTTGGTGTAATCATGCGCTGTGACAGAAAATGACTATAACTGCTCACTGACCTCAGCGAGGACCTCCACTCTCTTCCGTAGTATTCCAGAGATGTATCTGATGAGTCCCCACTCTTTGCAGGCTCCTGCTTGTACATACAGCTCCTCCAGCAGGGCGCCCACACTGACCCCGCCCTGCCCAGGACCTGACAACTCCACCAGCCAATCAGCTCCCCTGATCATTAGAAGAAAACACAGCTCATTACAAAAAAGTTATTTGATCACCAAAAAGACTTAAGTGTACTTAAATGTGCAAGTAGTAGTAGTAGTATGTCCATACTTCATTACATAAAGGATGTAGAGTATGTCAGCCTGGTCCTGCAAGGTCGGACACTCTTTCAGCTGCCTCACCAATGCTGCAAAGTCTGTGTTACCCTGAGAGTCTCGAGGCAGGTGCAGATCAGCAGCACTGTGCGGCTTGAGAGGGAGGAGTGTAAGACAAATACACTTCAGAGCAATGCTGATGTCACAAGAGAAACCAAGTTGTTTGTGGAAGGATCGGCTGTGCCTACCTTGTGCTGCTTTACATGTGGGCCATGCTGAGGATGAGGAACTAGTAGGTTGAGGGATCTGCGGTGTTTGCTTTTAACTGGAGTCACAGGTAGATACATGGGAGACTCTGAAACACACACACACACACACACACACACACACACACACACACACACACAAATTAAAATAATGGACTACAAAGTGAAACAGGAGTATTTTTAAGATGCTGCAATTTAATTTTAATTTCCCTGTTAAGCTTGTGACAACCTCAACACAAGGGTTTTTTATTGTTTTTGGTATCAGATTTAAAGTTGGAACCAGTTAGATAAAAGTTGAGTAAGAGGTTTCACATTTGGGGGAAAATTCAAATTGTGCCTCTACAACAACATGTCGTGGCTGCATTGCATTATGGGCTATCAAAATGCTATTGTGGATTTAATACTGTCTTTGATCCAATATCATACTATTCATTTTTGCATGACTATGTTTACAACATGGAGTGACATGTTAACCAGTGTCTAGATACCAGTAGTATATTTAGTCTTTGTTGTTGCCATCTACAGGTGGCCATAGAATAAAACTTAAATAACCAACAGAATTTTTTCTGTTTAATCTTTTCTTCTTTTTTGAGAAAAAATTGATTTGAAAAAAAAATAAACAATGTTGATGAACTAAAAATGACCACCTACCCACATAGAAATATGTTTCCCCACTATTTTATGTTTACCCTTAACATAAAAAAAAACCATGTTTAGTCATACCTTTAAGCCCAACCAGTAATTTCTGTAACACCTAACCTAAATTAAGACCTAACAATGGACAGCAGCACTACAGGAAACGCTATTCAGAGGGGAACAGACTTTGACTGACTCATTAGTTTCCTTATAACCTACTGGGCATGTTGAGGCCCTGGACCTGGGCCATAAATGACAGGATGTCTCTGGTGGTGTGTTCAGCACTGAAGACATGCTGCTGCCCCCTCTGGATGGGAGGAAGATGGCACTTGGTGGTGGTGCTGTGGAGCAGCTGGGTGAGGTACTGGTCAAACATGTCTTTGGAGCCAGCTGCAGTTAAATACATGCCCTCCATTACTCACATTTCCACTAAATTAATCAATTATGACTGAAAGGAAAACATTGTTCATCACTACCTGAGGGCCCACAGATGTTATACTCCTCTCCATATTCATCATCATCCTCCTCATCCTCAAGTAAGTCATCGTCCTCTTCATCAAGGAAGCTGAGGTGAGTGTGGAACGAAGTGGTCTGAACACTGGAGAGGTCTGACATCTGCACCCTGTAGTAACATTCACACAAAATACCCACACATTCAAGAGAAGTAACCTGTTACAGATATCTCCAGATCTATCCACAGTAATAGCATGTTGTCCCGTGTTACAGATGGAAACAGACCTCGCGCCAGCAAAATAGCCATCCTGTAGTTTCCTGAGGGTTGCTAGGATACACGGATCAAGTGCATCTCCATCTTCAACTGGACATAAGAATTACATAAATTACGTGAAGTGTAGTAAAATCATTTTTGAACGGCAATATGTAAATATAAAGTATGCGCATTCAAGGTCACAGCTAAGTGCATGGAAACCACATATTAAAAGCAACCTGGACTGTATTAAAGAGCAGTAACATAACCTGTAACCTTTTTGGTTTGGTTTTAGACAGGACACCTCCAGCTCTTTGTATAAAGAATTTATAATCCTTCCGATAGATACAGATACAGTATATTATCATTATATATATATGTATATACATGTATACATCTGTTTTTGGCTTATGCACTAGGCGAGCAATTTTCATTCAAGTGAGTGGGTGCCATCTTTGAGTCTCGTATCCAGGTACTACATCAATACATTCAGGATTTTAGGCGGTAGTTAATCAGCTCCAGCAACATCTCATAAAACAAAAAAATAATAATTACATATAAAAAAGCATTTTTCCGTCCCTTTATTAGGTTGAACTGGCAGTAGCATTCTGAAGTTGTAGTTTAATTTACGTCCAACAGCACAAGTTTTGTGCCATTACATATGACTGGAAAACATTAAGTGTGCTATTATTTTCATACTAATTGCAAAAAACAGTATTATACAAGACACAGTTAAATACTAATAAGAACCTTATTACCCAGCATGCTTCGGGTGATGGGAAAAGTGAGTGTGGGCCGCCCTGTCATCCTCCAGCAAGAGGAAAGATAGGCCAGCTCTGTTCGTAACATCTCCACAATCATCTGGTTGTCCAGTGCCAGGTAGAAATGGTGCTGATCTAGAAACTGGACAGTAAGTAGAGAAAGGAAGATAAGAGAGAAACAGGCAGAAAGTGTTAATAAGTAGTATTAATTACTACTGCCTTCTATCTAGCTTTGTCACTGTCATTATGAACAACATCTCAAGCTCGTAGTACCTGAGGGGTGAAAATATAAGAGCGATTTCTGATCTCGTAGAATTTGGATGTTCCCAGGACGCCAATGTGTCTGTAAGGCCTACCACTCAAATTCAGTTTCTTGGAGTTCCCTGTGGCAATGACACAAAATGTTACTCTTATTTTGACACAAACCACACACACCACACACACACACACACACACACACACACACACACACACACACACACACACACACACCTGTGCACTAAGGAAAGGAGTGCTTGTTTACCCAGTCTGACATAGACGTGGCTCAAGATGCGAGCAGGCATGACTCTGATAGGCAGAACTTCTGACATCGTCTGGACTGTGATCCCATGATCACTTAACAACTCCTGGATCTCCTCTGACTCTGCTAGAACACAAACTGACACACACACACACACAAACACACACACACACACATTTAAAAAGAAATACATGTTATCTTCTATAGGGAAAATCTATGCGTAAACAAATGGTAACATCAGAACAACACAACATAATGGACATTTTTTATAGTTTTGAAGCTGTGTGTGATTTATGTCCTCCTTGGCATTGTGTCACATAAACAAAACTAAATGGAAAAAAGGCACAGCTGAGCCAAAGTACAACTGAGGCTGATGAAAGTTGAGCCAAGTCTGACAATGTGGAGTTGAGTCTTAAAAAGATTTGTTCAAGATTAGCCTTGAGCTGAGCAAAGTCTTTGAAGCAACACTCGAGCCAGTTTCTATATTTATTCCATACAAGTGGTAAGAATCTACGAAAAGTAAATGTGCCTCTCTATTTTTAATCCAATGCAAACTTGTTTAAACTGTGAAATGGGCATTTCAGCCTCACAGCGGCCTCATTAAGTAACACAATCACTGGGTTCCAAATAACATTTGTGAAGGATGGAAGAGTGTAGATGTCTTCTTCCTTACTTCCTGTGTTAGATTCCCCCTGTTATTCTGAGATTCAACCCATTTTTGACCCCAACTTCTGTTCTGACATTTCCTTCAAACTAATGAGCGATCACCAACCTTGTACCACAACATCTGGCTTGAAGTTTGTAGAGAATCTCCTGTTGAGAGGATCTATCTCTCCTGGTGCTAAAAACCCCTTATAGAGATACAGAGACAGAGAGGGTGAATTACAGAAACAATAGCGAGTTTTATGTATGTTTATGTTTACAAAACAAATATAGTAGTCTTGCCTTTTTTCTAATTTATAATATTAAATCTACCTTATTTCTGACGTGTGACATTGACTATATATTGCTGTGATAGCCACAATAATAACAGATAGCCAGTGGAGTAATGATTACCTCAGCCAGGAGACAGCCCAAGATGTAGAGTGACTGTCCCCACATGTGTGGCAGCTGCCCCAAGGCCACTCTGTCCACTGAGTGAGGATTGCTGTACTCCTCATCCACCTGTAAGGGGCAAACATATGTTCTCATTCTTAAGTGGTTGCCTGATATACAAATACTGTGTTTTAGATGCAACAAATGCTTCTTGTCTGATGTTTCTTGGCACTTTTTTTTTTCTTTTACCATAAAAGAAATGCTGGTTATATGTACAAAATAATCCTTGGACAGACATAAAACAAACAATAAATAAAAAAAATAGACTAAAGCTAGATGAAAAAGATACCAGATACATCAGAGTATGTATAGAAAAACAAGTCTACAGACAGAGCCACTAGGCCTGTGAGGCTGTACTAAATGCTAACATCAGCATGCTAACATGCTCACAATGATAATGCTAGTATGCTACCATGTTCATCTTAGCTTACCGTGCATGCTAACATTTGCTTATTGCACAAAATGTTTGCATAAAATCTTCTAGACAACTGAGGCTGATGGGAATGTCAGGTATGTAGTATTTCACAAATTGAACTGCTGACTTTATGATTGTGAATGGCTAAAAACTCAAATATTATCTATCTAATATATAACAATCGAGTGAAAACTGTTTTGTCAAACAAAAAATTTAATAAATCAGGATTCACAGCAGATATCACCCATACAGGTATAAAAGAACTGATTAATTTATGTTAATTTCTTAAGCATACCACTTTTGTCCTTTAATCTACAGTAGGTACAGTATTAAAGGACTCCACATCTTCAGAGTAGGAATGTAACTTGAACTGTTTATTCTTCTAGTCTTGTTAAGCTTTATTGACTCTTTTATCGACTCTCACAATACAACTGAACTGAATATCTTCAAGCTGCTCCTGAAAAACAAGCTACTGTGAATCCCCAAATTAGAACAAACTAATAATTTGAAAGACAAGTACCAGTCCTGTCACCTTCATCAAACAGACTGGTTTGTAGGTTTTGTCAGGCCATGCAACTTGAATGTGACTAGAATAAAGGTGCATCTGCTATATTTATACCTTGTCGTGAGGTACAGCATAAAGTTCGGGCAACAGTTTGATGCCGTTCTTCCCTCGGATCAAAACACCTTCCAGTGCCTCACGGTACTCCTGAACCTGTGCAGAGCACACAGTATTTTGTTCAATATTACATCAGCACAAGTCATTCAAAGTGACTCTATGACTGTGTGAATACAAAAACGGCATATGGAGCAGTATGTTTGGTTCGATTACCTGCACTTGATCTTCAGCAAAGATCCCGTCCAGGATGAGATAAGTCCAGAACACAGGCCATTCACATTCGATATTCTCAAACAGCTTGAGCTCTGCAGGGTCGTAGTGCAGCCGTGATGGATCCTAGTGAGACAACAACACACAATTGTCATAAAATCAGAACAACACAGTACAATGAAATAATTAAATACATTATAAATAGAGATTAGATTTTCAATATATAGATTATTATTATTTGACCTCTTTAGGGCAACGATATCCATCCCTGATGAAGCGACAGCAGCCATAGCGACCCTGAAATTTTACCAAAGAGTGGAAGATTTAGAATTCTGACTCCAAAACAAATGATTTGTGTTTCTCATGCTTACACTGTACCTGCAGTTTACTTATGATTTCCGACTTAGTGATGGCCACCAGGTCAGCATCCTCAACAGCAAAAGCAGGGAAGGAAATGACACATAGAAGGCCGGCATCTATCTCCTTTGAAGTTGAAGCTCTTGGCAGCATGGAGCACAGGATGGACTGAGGGGAAACACACAGACACGATGAGCAGAAGAAAGATGAGCTGAGACAACGCTGAGGTAGCTGCAGGCAAAGCCAACAGTACCTGACAGTGTTCCACCTCGTCAGGCAAAACATGGATGACTGATTTTGGTCCTCCGTGTGCACCGAAAAGATCCAGCTCATCAATGGCTTCCAGAGCGGCCTGTAAACAAACACACAAATCAATCAGTGCACCAATACGCGTTTTATACAACATTTTCTTCTTTTGGTCTTTAATGTATAGTTTATCATACATGTGGACAATAAGTAATGGAATATCCTGTACCTTAGCAATTCCTACAGAGCTGCCATTGAGCTCGGGAATGCCCTGGTTGGTTTTGTCGCCTCGCTCCCACATCCCATAATCCTACAGGGCGAAAAAAAAGGTATCAGACATAATTTCTTACAAAATTCTCCAGTCTCTAAAATATCCCCATTTCTCTGCACTGTAGCTCCCTGGGCATCACTTTTAAAAGAGTACTCCACCCATTTTAGCACTGCACTCATATAACAGTCAGATTCACAATGGAGAGTTTAAAAAGAATTGATGCAGTAGGACCAGATATTAACTTTTTTTATTCCATGCATTTTTCTTCCCTGTCGAAACGCCTACATTACCCACAATTCAACTCAATCTCCGACAACTGGGTCGAGATTCGGGTGTCATGCTGGTAGTAACTAATGCCGCTAGCTGCAAGCACAGATAAGGAGTGGGCTACAGACATCTGGTAAGCTCACTTCTTTTTTAATTCCAACTTGTATGCTGTTTCTAGTGATTTGAGGCAACTTTTTAAATGTAGTTCTCCTTTAACTTTTACTCTGATCGTGTTTCTGTTTCTAGAAACCACCCTCCAAAACCTCTAGAAATGTTACTCACCGCCACTTTGTAGGCAGCCTCTATGTAGAAGACCAAGTTTTGGATAAAGGCTACCTCATCCAGGTTTGAGATGATACGAAGACCTGCGTTATAACGTGACAAACTCAGCAACCAACTCATGTTCAGCGTTGTTTGTTGCATAATGAGCTTGTTATTAGAAACACAAACAGAAAACGCAACAAATATAAACACCACTCTGTATCACCACTGTACCTGAGGCTGTCATCTGTGCCAGCATCAGCAGGTAAATGGAGGTGGCGTCCACCTGGAGATGGCCCCACTGGTCGTCCCCGACCACCGTGGCACAGGTGGGAGTATCATATTTGGCATGCAAGCAATCTTTTGTACTCTGCGTGCGTTTGAACTCCTCCACCTTGGCCACCTGAGGACACATAAACATGTAAATTATTTTATTCTGCAAACTCAATATACACACACACAGACCAATGGACAGCTCAGTGTTTGCGTTGTCTGTGCCACAAGGGACCAAGAAAGGATACGGCAGGATTAGCATGAAAACTCAGACCCCTCAGTGGTTGACATTTGTCTTTTTGTTGAGTGTCTAAGCAGCAGAGGACAAAGCCTCTTTGCTTTATGACTCCCTGAGCACTGCAGCATTTTCACTCTCTGTTGGGAATTTGGCATCTTCATCTTATTTCCAGGAATCGGAAGGTGAGAGCAACAAACAATACACAATGTCACTGCAGCCAGGCTTTCACTATCACTTTCACTTCAACATTTAGATCAATCAACATGTTGTTAATCATTACAAAGTTTATTTTTCGGACCAACTACTTGTATTAACCTGAGTTTGGCATGCCTGCGCAGACAGAAGGAGACTGTGGTCAGAAACCAGCTGTTTACATAAAAGAGTCTGTTTAAATACCACAGTACCCAAGATAACATATTGTGGTTTCCAAGAACCAGAACACTGGTTTATCAGATTTTCTACCAGGATATGATGTTTGTATGTGAGCCTGTGTGGGTCTTACCTGTCTCATCATGCACTGCAGAAGTCCCTGCATCAGTTTCACCACACTCTGCCAACAAACAACAACAGCTTCATCAGCAAACTACAGAAGTCCAACAGAACGTCACGATAATCCAAATGTTTTTTTATTTTCAGTAGAGGTGGAAATCAGAAATCTATTAGCTGATTTGAATCACTATGTTCAGTTCAGTTCAAATATTTGTAGTTAGTTCAGCACTCATATCACGGTTCAAATGCACTTTAGTGTGTACGTCAGTAAGTGAACGCATAACTGTTTAAAGGCACCTTAATACATACAACAGTAAGTGAATATTAAATGATTAAAATAAGCAATGCACCACTATTTTTATTTCAGAGCAATCAAATAATGTATTACATTTATTGATGTGTTGTTAATAATTAAATCTATAAAATGATTCAAAGAACTAATGTGATGTTTTTAATTTGCTACTTACTCTAACACTCTTATATAATTTATGATCACTCAATCAACTCAAGTTTAATTTCTTACACACTATTCATTATCTTAATCAACCAGCTTATTAATGACCTTATTCTACCAAGTTAGATCTGTAACAGTTTTGTTTTATCATACTTTATATTCCCCTGAAGTTTTGTATTTTAAACATCAGTTTGAGAATGAAATATGAAATATTCTGTTTTGGTTTAATGTGATATTTTAGTTTAACTGCAGCCTACATTTCTGTAAACTGATCAAATAAGAATGTGAGGTGGTGCACACATAAAGGTTGCTGCTCTTAAATATTTAACCCAACATACAATGTAGAACAAACAGACACTGCTGTACTCATTAACCCTCTCTCTCTGAAACAAACACACCTGTTCCAGTTCGTAGGCCTTGGCCTTGTCTTCATCGCGGTCAGCGTTCTTGCGGTAGGCCATGCCCAGCCCCCACACAGCCAGCACACTGTACACATTATCCCTCACCCAGGCATCCTTCATCTGGGCACTGGCAGGCAGAAGTCCTGTCACTGGGTTCTGAAACAAATACACAACAGCTTAATTTACAGTAAGGACTGCAACACTTTTACAGTTTCTGTTTGATGTACTCACAAAAATATCTGTATGCTGTTACAATTCAGAAAAGAGAATGTTTGAGAATAAATAAAAACTTATCAAGGTGTACTTCTAGGTTGTTACAGTATGCTGTAGCGTGCCTTATGGGTGTGCCCTGGGTCTCGCTTCTCAGCTATCCAAACCATTTCAACAATTATTCAAGAAAAAAATTACTTTAGAGCTGCAGCTAACAATTTCTATTATGTATTCATCTGCCAAATATTTTGTTGTTTCATAAAAACATTAGAAAATATCACAAATATCATATAAGATAAAGTATAAAAGCACAAAATCTAAATCATTTAATCTTTATTATATTTACTGCTGACAATGTGTTGTTATTATATTCTCCTACAGATACTAAAATGTAACATTTGTGAAAGATAAGCTCTTCTTAGATTCAAATTAAACATGATCAGAATAGTATGTCTCTATAAATGAAAGTGAGTGTGATTTTAAGTTGGGTTGGGTTTGTGCATGAATAATACAGAATTTACATGGTTTCAGTTTCTGGTTGAAGTACCAATAACTTCATTGTGTCCCCTCTCTTAAAAAAACAAACCTCCACCTTTGCATATTCATGCTTAGTAAGGAAAGTTGGCACTGTTTTCTATCAGCTATGAACCCTCTGGGTCACAGTTTAAACTTAGACAGTTGTTGTTGTGCCTCAGTATGAACTCAAGTGTTGAAAGATAAAGGTCCTCAGCCTATTCCAGGGGCTGTACTTTGCTCATGCCTTGTTTACATACATGCAGCTCAATCTGGTTGAACTTGAACCTATATAGGGTACATAACACCTTCATACTTCTGCAGGAGAACACAGAGGATTATATAACCGATATAATTAACACAAAATACAATTAACAAATGATTATGATGTATTATTTAGTATAGATTAAGCTATCCATTACTATGTAGTTAGAATTATCCCTACATTTACCAGCTGCAACATTAAAATGATCCTAAAGTGGTAATGCATCAATACTTATAATTCAGTTATATAATGTATATTATTCTGAAAGGGCCATATGTTGTATAATAATAACTTTAAGTATTTTTTGATTTAGGTACACTTGCCTAGGGGACTTTTACTTGTAACAGAGTATTTCAACACTGTGGTATTGCTACTTTCACTTAAGCAAAAGATCCAAGTACTTCCTCAAGCCTTGACCTCACAGCACAGACTCCTCTCCTGTATCCTGCTCTGTATGTCTGGACTCACCTGGTGGCACAGGATCGTCTCTTGGACCAGCCTGGCATAGCCATCCAGCCTCACTCCTGAGTTACTGCGGCTCCTCATCCTCACTGATCACTCACTGCACACACAACAGGTTATGTCTGAACAAAATATAAAGCTTGGTTATTTAACTTGACTTTATGCCATGCACAGCGACTACATGTAGCTGAATCCCAAAAGGTAACTTACCAGGCAGTGACCCATCATCCTTGCAGCCCTGCAGAGCGGATTCAACCTGACACCTTCTGCAGAGGCTGCTCTGCTACAGCTTGCTAGCCGAGTAGCATCCAGCTGTTACTGACGACAAAAACATTTGTACCGCTTGAGCTCAGAGTATTCACACACACACACACACACACACACACAGTCCGGTGTTCTGGTCCGAGTCCTTACAAATAACAATATGTGACGTTTCACAGATTCGCGTGAGGAGTACGTGTGTAAGCAATTGTAGACTGATAATGAAAAAAATACATTATGTTCCTGTTGTTTGATTATTAGACAACAGGGGGCACCAAATCGCTTCTGTTTCTTCCCTGCACAAGCTTTCCTTTCACTAAAGTAAGATTTTGAATGGACTATTTCTACACAAACAAAATGATGTATTGCTACTTTTGTAAAAGTAAAAGATCTGAATACTTTTTCCACCACTCCAAATATTATATTATTGGTTACTGATGTATTTGAATGGCTGTGAGGAAGCGAATTCCACATAGCCGATTTTATATGGTTTATTTACTCTATAGCAATGCCTACTATTTTAAATGCTTATTATAGGTTTTATATGCAAAGAAGTAATTATAATTAGTTATGTTAATTTTGTAGGTTATTTAGATTGTTAATGGACTGGTTGCACAGTACACATTTTTATTTGTATTTCTTTTTTATATATATATATCTTTATTAACAGAATAGAAACATTACAACTTATAAAACACTACAAAACCAGTACAGGGAGCATTGTGAAAAATTAAAACACAAACATAAAATACAATGATTTGTCTATATATACACACATACCTCACATTAATGATTGCTACAGGTCCACTTAGGAGAGTTGCATGTTTTTTCACTGTCACGGAGCCGTCGTTACTGTTATTATATTACTGTTATAAGTCCAACTGTGTTTTTCCTGCTGTGACAACATCAAAATGCAACCAGACTGTCCATACTGATGCATTAATGGGAAGCATTTTACCACTGGAAATGGTCAAGACAGAGCCAACTTTTACTACTTTACATACTGTTTATAATTCCAACAATATGCATATATTTTACAAGCTGGTCATATCTGTGACTTATTATCTTTTATTGTTAAAAGGTAAGTCTAAGCAGGCTGTAAACTGTACATAGAAAACATGCATATAATGTCCATATACTATCTAATGTATGTAAGTTATTACAGCACAAAACCATACAATATTACAGCACTCTAGCACTATTCAACCCCACAGCTTGCAGTAGTATAATTTATATATATATATTGCACTTGTATTTATTTTTCATCTACTTGCCTGTACATAATTACTGCACGTCTATGTTTGTTAAGCTGGTTTAGATGTACATCTATGTGCATAAAAGTATTATTTGGAAGGACACAGTCTGTTTTATATTATTATTACAAATTAAAGAGATGTGAAAACAACTGTCTGCAAACTTTCAGCGACAGGAAGCCATGGCCGCTTGCTAGGAACAACGTCACGAATAACGGAATCTCTAAGCCAATCAAATTCCATAGCTGTGGCATTTTCGGCCAATCACAGCGCCGCTGTGTTAATCGCTGTCTCACCAGCAACCACCGTCCGCAAGGTAGTTTAGCGTCAAGCTGGCTAGGAAGCTAACCTACAGAAACACAGAAATATCTCTGCACTGTCTTTGGTTATGCATTTCGCTTGAATTTACAGAAGTTACCAGTCGTCCGAGTGATTGAATCGAAGGCGCGGTCGAAGGTAAAGAGTCGTGTTTACTTCTCCTTTCTGCTGTAGCTAGCTAGGCGTCGCAGGAGGGGGCGCAAATGACACATAACGTGTTGTTGATGTTAATATGTGGCGATTTACTGAGGTTAGCTGACTTAAGCGCATGGAAGTTTGTGCAGAAGCCTCCCACATGTTAATTTGACCCAATTTAAAGTAGTTTTGATCAGACTACTAGGTCGTATTATCCTCGAAAATAATGCATGTATTTCCTGTTCGGGCGTTTTCTTACTTATAATTCCCGTTTGATGTTACTGAATTAACTTTCTAGTCATGGAAAATAACATTCATCAAACATGTGACATGACTGCTGATGACTTACCTCCGAGCCTTTACCTCTATCATTTTATTTTCTTCTATTAAAGTTTTCTCTGACAACATTTTAAGTTAATGTTTATATCATTTCAACCGTGGATAACTTTTAACTGAACTTCCTCCTTCAGATGCAGTTCATGCTGTTGTTCAGCCGGCAGGGAAAGCTGCGGTTACAGAAATGGTATGTGCCTCTGTCTGACAAAGAGAGGAAGAAGATCTCCAGAGATTTGGTCCAAACCATACTGGCGAGGAAGCCCAAGATGTGCAGCTTCCTGGAGTGGAGGGACCTCAAGATTGTGTACAAGAGGTAAGTGAATAAGAGAGCTGTGATATATTTACACTTCCTCATACTGCTTCCTCAAATATTCACACTCAGGTGCATATGCACACACATACAGTAGACACACAGACAAACATGTAACAGAGATGCACTTTGCTTTTCTCTCTGGTTGTGTTTTAGTGTTTTGTTACTCTAATTATCTGTGGCTTGTTATGAAACATACTTCTTAAGAGCAGCAGGTTTTATTTTACATCATTTAAATCAGTGTATTTAAACTAAATAAATTCTGCAAAAGCTGCTGACAAGGTACTTATTATGAGATATTGCAGCTACCTTTTAACATGTTAAGTACTGCAGCCCATTCATGGCTATGGAAATAGTAGTTTCATATTATAATCTTAACTCCAGGAGCTTTCCTTTGCATCTCAAAGTTATTGTAGTATGATGGACGTACAGATAGACTGATTTCTCTGTTGATAAAGACTGAGATGTGGTTGAAAATCATGAAAGAAGATTGCAAGATTGTGGTCCTTGAGAGGACCTTAAGATTATTTTATCAGACCATAAAATACTCCACAATGGTCTAAACAGATTGCACTTGTCTTTGTGGTTTAGTAATAGGATGTGTTAACGTTTGGTTTGTTGCATCACTTATGTATCTGTGGTGACTTGTTGGGGTTGTTGTGATTCAGTGATTACTTTGTCAAGCACTGAGATTTCTGGCATGTAGATCTCACCTTCTGGTGTTTTATAAAAGCCAGAAACACCCCCTCTCGAGCAACAACTGCCAAACAATGGAGGACAATGATACAAATATATAAGGGGTGCCTGATTTGTTATGGACATATGACTGCTGAGTCATACAATTACATTTTCATGTGTTCAATATAAGAAACTAATAAACAAAGACAAACAACAAAACAGGCAGGAGACAGTGATATAATGGTGCAGTGCTGGAAGAGGGGATTTCTTGCACATGTACAATCTAAGGCGATTCAGTTTAATATCCATGCAACAAGAATAATATCTGTGTAAAGGTTGCAATGTTCTGTTTTTGTTGATGTTGATTAAAATGTATTGTATTGTATAATTATTAATATTATTATTTATTGTGGCGGGTCGGTACACAACAGTATTGTTTTGTTGGTTCAGATACACAATGATGTATCCATAAAACATTAAAGATGCATGTTATTCAGGAAGTAAATATAATCTGTTTTCGTACACATCACAGTCTTGTTAACCTATGTGCTTCCCTTCATTTCCTTACTTTATGCTGTAGATATGCGAGCCTGTATTTCTGCTGTGCAGTAGAGGATCAGGATAATGAGCTGATTACCCTGGAGATCATCCATAGATATGTGGAGCTGCTGGACAAATATTTTGGCAGTGTGAGTCTCATAAACATAACACATGTAATATGCTCATTGATAGTGTGTTTGGGGGTGGGAAGAAACAATATACAGTCCAAGGTTTTTGCAGTCAGGACGTCAGTAGGTCTCTGATTTGTTGCTGTTTGTGGTGTTGTGGCCTCACAGGTGTGCGAGTTGGATATTATCTTCAACTTTGAGAAGGCCTACTTTATCCTGGATGAGTTCTTGCTTGGCGGAGAGGCCCAGGAGACATCCAAGAAGAATGTGCTGAAGGCCATCGAGCAAGCCGACCTGCTGCAGGAGGTACGCACAGTTCTTTATCTACAGATAGCTGAACCCGCTAGACAGACCAAATTTAGTTGCAGGTGAACAGTCAATGCCGATTAGCCTGCAGAATATTTTCTCAATTAATCAGTTGTTTGTTCTGACAATTTGGGAAAAATAGCCATCACAAGTTTCCACTTGTTTTGCTTGACCAACACTCCTAAACCCCAAAGATATTAACTGTCTGTTAAGAGGCAGGAAACTGCAAATATATGCTGTATTTGCTTGAAAAACTATTTAAACGACTTCTTGATGAGCAAAATTGTTGCAAATTAATTTTTAATTAATTCTGTTGGTTGTTGCTGGTCTAACACAATGAAAATATAGAATTATTTTCACTGAGCGATGCTTAAGTTCGACCAGACAGAGGGTTAGAACTGAGATGTTGATGGATTCCTTTTTTCACCTTGCAGCCCTCTACACCTGCCGCCACCTGTTTTTATTTTAGGCCTGCAGTATTTGATTAATACCTCTCTCTCCCTGCGTGTCTGCATTGCTGTCCATCTGTAGTCGTTTGCAGTCGACACAATCGGTGCTCAGGGATTTATTTATAGCAAAGCATGCAGCGCTATTGTAATAACAGCATGGCTGACTGTGCAGGCCTGTAAAAGGTTTAACTCACTGGAAAGGCCTCCTCTTCCCGTCACACATTTAGCAACTTGCAATTATGACTCATGTACTATTAATTATAATTTGGTGGGGTGTTACAAAATGTGTGACAGATGAACAAACTGACATCTCGACAACAAGGAACATTTATCTTTCTTTTGTCCATCTGCAGGAGGCCGAGGCACCACGGAGCGTTTTAGAAGAGATTGGGCTGACATAAACCGTCATGCTGCTGCCTCGCAGTTCTTTCTCCCAGATGCAGATCTGGCAACCTCCCTGTCTCTATCCTGTCTCCTCCTGTTCATGGTGTCAGTGTTGTATGTATATAATCCCCATCTATGTACTGTATTATTCTGTACTGTACTATCCTGTAATGTCCTTTTAATGTGGTGCCAACTGTGGTTTAAATGTGTTTCGTATGTACAAGCTCCCTCACTGTATTCTGCAGTACTATTAGCATACTTCGCTCCCCGAACGTCTTGAAACTCCACAGAGTACAATGTAGCGACGACATGAAAACTCCAGCGTCATATTAAGGTTATCCATCATCACCGATTGCAGTTGTATGCGCTGTTTGGCTTAAAGGACTTTCTAAGGTGCTGTTGTAGCCATAGTTGGTGCTTCTCGTGTTTTATCGTTGCATTCGAGTCAGAGAGCTAAGCATCTCATGTCATGAAAAATAATACTCTGTGATCTTTGAAAAACCCAGAAGTTTGTTTAACAAAACGTACAGCTGTTCTGAAGGTATTTCTGAAATCCTCAAAGACTCAATTTTGTCCGCCACACAAAAAAAAGTTTGAAAGAACCATAAAAAAGATTCGTTTTTTTCTTTGATTAAAGTAAAAATTGTGCCAGGAGATACACCATTTTGTGCCATTATTATTAATATTTAAAAAAAATAGTGGACAGTATTATTATTTTTTTCATCTAGATGTTAGAAGAGTATTGTAAGACTCTATAAGTATCTTCAGAACACCAGCAAGCGTTACTAAATTCCAAGATTTATTTTAAAGATCAGGTATTTATTTTTCAGAGGATCCGATTCCCAGTTCCGACTGAAATGTAATGGTAACACATGAGTGGCATCAAGTGGGGCTGTTGTGGGAATCACTGACACTGTTACAATCACTTATACACGCGTAAGTTCAACCCACCAATTCAGTGAAATTGATCAATTACCCATAATCAATATCGGTGTATACATTAAGTAGGTTTGTACAAGTTTGTGTTTGGTGCTTCCCCTCCAGAACTTAACCATTTTGTATTTCTTTTTCAAGACTAATTTTGGTAACACATTTATTTTCTGTAATTAGTGTCCTGTTTGTTAAAAGTCTTTATTTTTCTGACAATTGATTTATTTTCTTTACAAAATCGCTTGTTTAACATGGAAGTTTGTAATGGCCTCTGGAGATAAATCTTAGGTCAGTCTCTCCCTTAGTCTTAGGTCAGGATAGGATAGTGACCAAAATGAAAGAAACACTGTTTTCTGTATTACGATAGTTTGGCTTGCTCTTAAAAAGACTAACATATGACCAAAGAACACTGTGTTTTACCTTCTCAATGGTGTCTATAGAAGGCTAACATGGCAGAAAAGGGATTTAGAACTGCAATGTATGTGGAGTTTATTTGGCCACACTATACCAGTATTATGTAATTTTTCCAATCAGTTTAAAGGCAGGACTATCCTGAGTTTCTTTATGGAGCAAGAACATAAGAAGATGAACTGCACATATCAGGGTACATCAATAATATCCATTACTGTCGGCTTGTTCACTTGTCAGTAGGATGCAGGAAAACAGGCCAACAAGTGATGAATAGATATTCATCCAAACTGTATGGCTGTCACATTTTTTATCTGCATTCTTAAAACCACAAAGTGTTTCTGTTGAACATTCACAATTATTAAAAGGTTCATCTCTGATTTGGGCAAAAGGAATCACTTTTTGTATTAAACACTGCCAACACATTTGCCAACATTTTTTTCTTATATTTGAAAGTTATTAACAATAAATGTATTCAAAAAGAAAACTCATTTGTTTATCTTTTGTTTTTTTTACTCAACAATAATCATGTAGTGCCACAGCTCCAGTGACCCAGTGTTCAATAATTAAAACAGCATGAACTATTTTCCAAAAGCAAAATATTCACAAATGTACATACTGGTGCTAATTTACAGTATCACTGTTCAAAAGAATGGACTTTATTCCTCCAAATACATTCACATCATTATAAGCAGAAAAGCCAGACTGAATTGACATTGACATTTTCAAATGTAGGAGCCACTAAGAGGTACTTGTGTCAACTTTCCCAGCAGGTTCATTTGGTATTTGTGTGTTAGACTGTTCCATTTCCACCTCAAGACTAAACTTCTTCTCACTTTCAACACAGGGACTTTCATCCAACTCATTGTTTTTATGAATTAGCTCCATTTCATTCATCTCCTGACTGGGACTCGTTGCAGTGAGCTTCTCCTCGGCCTCTTCCTTTGACACTCTCTCCTTTTCTGACTCTCCAGATGATGTTGTCCCTTCAGGAAAATGGCTTTTCTTCTTATGCTTCTTCTTGCTCTTTTTCTTGCTCTTTTTGGACTGTTTGTGGCGACGACGTGTGTTGGTATCATCGTTATTTTTATCCGGTTTCTTTGGGCTCCTTTCTCTACTCTGCTTATTTCTTTCCCCCTCTCTGCTTGAGCTTCTTGACCTTTCTCTTGCTTTTCCCTGAGTGTCTGTATCTTTGTCTCGACTGTCTCTCTCTTCACTTCTATTCCTACACCTGTCTTTATCTCTACTCCTGTTTCTCAGTCTGTCTTGCTCCCTGTCTCTACTTCTACTCCTCGACCTGTCTCTGCTTGGTCTCAGATACCAATCGTTCCTTCTGTCACTGTGTCTGGACCTGGACGACCACTTGTCCTCTCTATGCTGGTGGGAGGCCCTGCTCTCTCGACTCCTCTCTCTGCTCCTGCTCCTACTCCTCCGCCTGTCGCCCTCTCTTCTGCTGTGGGATCTCTCAGACCGTGGCGGGCTTCTGCTGCAGTGACGTTGCCTCCATGATCGGTCTCCGTATCGCTCCGATTGCCACCCGTCTCTGCGACTCCCCCTGACGCTGCGGTCTGGTGACATGTGCAGGTCCCTGTCGGCCTCCCAGAATTCATTGCCAGGGTTTCGAAATACATGCAGGAAGTTACAGTGCTTCCCTTTGGGGCACTTCTGTCTGTCAAACAACCCTGAGAGAGGAAAGGCAAACACACATACAAGATGGTAAATAAACTGAACTGAATTTTGTAACTCTGTTGTAATGTTACCAAGTGAAATTGCCTCACAGTTCAGCATGAATAAGTAACTCACCACATATAGCATTCTTCCACCGTGTAACAGGACATATCTCACAGTGAAGCTGCCGGCCTGCGTACCACCTTCCATTGAACTTTATTAAGGCTTCTTTACACTGCTCCTCTCTGGACAGAACAGAGAGACATGAGGATAAAGAATGATGAGTTTTATCCAAAAATTCGAACACAGCACAGTTTATTTATTTAGAAAAAGTCGTGGAGTTGTGTGTGAAGGCTTACGTGTCAAACTGAACATAAACATTTCCTCTCAAGTGTGGTTCGTAATTGCAGCTGACCTAAAAAAAAAAAAAAAAAAAGTATCAATGAAGCCAAACATGTATTTTGAGTGGGAATAATTTGATCATCCTTCCAGTGGAAGTTAGCCACAGTTAGTAACAGAAAAATAATCTTTACAGCAGTTTATATTGACTTAATTTAATTGATAAAGCATCTTAAATGAGGGGTGAAACACCTCTAAGACATACACAGTGAGTCCAGTTCCCTGTGACCTGGTACTTCAAGACATATTTCACACCGAGCACATTTACTATAATGCCGGTTAGAAACCTGGTTACATGTAGTTATGGCTGAGAGATCTAGCTGGGGAAATCAGGTTTTCCAATCTCCTACACATAAAGACGTGGTGACAAAGAAACTGGATTACTTCAGAAAGCTGACTGTAATTCGGGTAAACTCACTGGCTGTCTCTCATCTTACCTTGAATTGCACCACCTTGCCGATACTCTTCAACTCTGGCAGGACATCGTGGTAGAAGTCGAGGAAAGACTCCTGCAGCTCCTCCTCACTGTGCTCCAGCCAAGCATCAATGTCGTAATCATCTCGGCGTGACTCCTCCATGCCAAATGTTATAAACATACCACGGATCATCAGAGTTGGGCTGGCTGTGGGATGAACGTGTTTCCGAGAACATCTGTACTCACAAACCCAGAAGAGAGGATGGAGGGAGGAATATATTCTTTAATGCGTCTGTACATCTGTTCAATCACCACTCAAATAGTAGGTTTATGAATTTAACGTAACAAGTCACATCTAAAGAGAAACAAATAGTACCTGTCTCCAAATCGACATGCTCCGGTCTTAAGGAAGAACGGACAGTTGGCTACGTCGCGCTCTGTCCCAAAGTTCACAGAGTTCTCCGTCACAGGAGCCTCAGGATTCATCCATGGTCCCCCATTATCTAGCTGGAAGTGAGAACATGAAGAAAAACGTATATAGTTGGACTTCAATGGGAATATGTAGCAAAGGATACAGTTCATATACCTCTTAGCTTTTAGTCTTTTACATGGTCACAAGACTTGACACAGACTTCTAAGTCCAAACTCATTTACAAGCCTTTTCTATACTTGTGATGACCCTGAGGTTTGTGTTGCGGTCACAGTAAGTCACTCTTGATAAGTGGAAACAGAAATAGTGAAATCCAAAGATTAATATTTGAGATATTAGATCATCACAAAAAACATGATCAGCAATTTATTGGCTTTAAACACATAACTAAACTGTTTAATGAAAATCAGTTTCATTTGGTTATTAAAGAACTGAGACTGATAAATGTACTGAGCAAGATGTTTCTGTTTAAAAAAATAAATTGTTAGTGCTTTGGTGGAAAATCGATGCAATAGAGACACTATGGAATTAGTGCATTCATTCATTCATTCATTCATATCTTTGGCATGTCTGTTAAGTAACAAGAAATAATTTCTTATACAATATATCTGCAATGATGGTGATATATCAGCCTGGTCAAATTATTAGTCTGACTCTTGAAAAGTTGTTTCTATAGGCCTGATGTCTTGAACACTTTTCATTGTTTTTTTTAATGTGTCAGGTTCAACTGTGCCTGGAAATATATAAACATATACATTAGAGTTCCAAGTCATTAGGAGTAAGATACAGAACTTAATATACCCAGCAACCCGGGCTCAAAATAGTCACTGTCAAGTTATCTGTGTTACATGACATTCATGTGTGTTTATACCTGGTTTTCAGCTTCATCCAACATTTTCTGAACAGCCTCCTACAAATGGTGTAAAGACACAGGTCAACATACTGCAGCATATCTGTTACTGTGTGTTAAGATCACATTCACAAGGACTGGCATTTCAACATTTCTGGACTTTTTTTAAGCAATTTCACAGATGTTTCCACACAAAGAAAAAGATACATCCTTGTTGTGAGAGCTGAAGGGTTTTTCTCTTTGTGTGTGTCTTAGTTAAGGAGTTGGATGGTTGCTTGTGCCACTCAGTCAAGGAAAAGTTTTTAAAGAATCACGTACAAAGCAAAAACACATTTTACAAAAGAAAACACTCAGCTGGTGACATATGCATTATGATTGTCGGAATCATCTCTTTTGGATGGATAATCTAAATACTCGTGATTAAGTAGAAGAGGATATATTTCTTTTTGTTTCTATCCTCCTGGGGCCCGTATCACCTCTCTGCCTCGCTTCTCCTGCTGCTTCTGCTCTTTTTCCTCTTGTTCTTTCCTCTGCTGGGCCTCCCATTCCTCCTTTATCATCCGCTGTGAACACACAAAGGCATAAAGTCAGTGAATATTAACATTTTATTCAGAATACATGATCGAACAGGCTCGGGTGCACTTATTCACATTCCAAATTGTTAAGCTTCTTGATTTGTAATAGCTCGCTATGATAAGTACAAAAAGTAGATTACCTCCTCCTCCTCTTTTCTTTTCCGTGTAGCTTCCTCCCTCTCAAACCTCAGCCTGAATTCCTCCTGGGCAAGTCTCTCTTTTTCCAACCACTCTTCATGTTGCCGAAGTCTGAGAAAACAAGTCACACATAATAAAAGGTAAATAAAAACCGCACAATCAAAGTTTCTATTCAGTCTCTCACTGAATGTGCAGCTGCAGGACAGCAGAGTGACATTAGTATTGACCTACCTTTCCTCCTCTGCAATATCATTATCCTCATCATCTTCATTGTTTATTTCTTCATCTTCTTCATCGTCAGGTGCATAGCTTGCTCCATTTTTTAAACCTACAACACAGCATTGTAGTTAATCTGGTCGACACCTACATCTGTAGAAATCAGTAATGACATTTAACACCAAAAACCACAGCTTTCTTCATACCAGTTCCTCTGGCTTGGGCGAGGGCTTGGCGTTTCCGTTTTCTTCTTTCTTTCCTAAGAGCAGCCCTGCGTTGCTTTTGACTAAAGTTAAAAAGAGATGACATTTGAAGCAATAATCAGATCAGATGAAGAGAAAGAAGTGCTCCCAATGGGCGCAGAATCATTACAAAGGGGGGGACGGATATGACCAGAGGGAGAAATGTGTATGTTAGTGAATCTTAAATTGAAGAAACCTTTTTCACAGCAGACATTTGGACCAATCTCAGTCTACACCTGGCATTATATGCTTCTTAACAGCACACTGCATCCACAACAGGACTGTTGTATTTGATTAACATGAGCTACATTAAAACCAGTGATTCCCAAAGTTTGTCAATCACATTCAGCTTTTTCACTAAGGATATTGGGACATGTCATAATAGTAAAAACCACAGGTGGAATTAAAAACATTAACAATAACTCAGGTTTTACGTTGAGCTTTATAAACGTGTTGGCTACGACAGATCTTTGACCATACAACACTATAACCGCGTTTATACTCTTTCTTGTGTTTCTTGAGGTCCACCAACAAGATATACATATATATATTAA